TTCCGGTTTTGTAAGCAGTACATGACGCTGAAGAATGACGCATGACTTGCTAGAGTATTTAAGACGTCTATGGACATTTTATTTAAAACTATTGACAGAACCATTAAAAGAAACATATCAGCAATCAAAACATTGTTATTTTTACCAAAATAATTCATCTGCGCCGATGTATACACAATATATCCGCAATATGGCAAATTTAGAGGTAATGAGCATTGAAGAAAAAAAAACTTTGTGATAATTCCTACATTAACCCAGACGGTCAACTTTTTTGAAATTTCACAATTTTGTGACTTTTTACAATAACTTTTATGTATTTTACTAAAAAGAAATCCCTAGGATAGGAATACAAAAAATATGGGGAAAATGTGGCTCTTTTCCAACAAATTCCCATAGGGTCCAAATAAAGTTTGACAACTTTATAGATGCCACCCTAAGAAAGCGGGATGGTAAACATTCCATTATTTTATCTTAAAACAATTAATTTAATAGTGAAAATTCATACAAGAAAATTTATCAAAATATCTAGGGTAGAAATAATTAGACTCGGCCTCGTTAAAAAAAAGTTTTTGCCAAATATTTTTGCTGACTTTAAAGATGTTAAAAATGTGTATATCATTTCTCTAACTGCTAAAATAAATGAACATCTCCTGGCCTTGATATTGGACTGTGTTTAATAATGAAAGAAACAAGAGATCGATCCATGGTCCTCAACACTCGTCAGACACCTTGGTTCTACTGTTTTTCATCACAATGGTATTTTAAAAGATTTTTTCTATTATCTAAAAAAAATTAAATTGTCTATCTGATTCTTCTTGACATATTTTATTAGATATTTATGCATTCACGAACAATAAATTTTAAACGCTAAAGCATTTTATTTGCAAATAAAACAATTTATTTTATTTTCTGGAAAAATACCCCCCCCCCTCCCCCCAAAAAAGGACCATGCAAAATTTCGGTGTAGCTTAAACCTTCTTAAACCTAATTTTTAAGTTTGAAATAAAACTTCACACGTGGCTACGGCTACAGTGTAGCTTATATACATGCAATAGTCATGTATATATTGTGATCGAGTAACGTTTTGTTGTAGTAGTAAAATAATATATGTTAAGAATACACGAGTATAAAAACTATAACATGCGATTTGAGATGAGAGCTTACATGTAACATGCGTGCGTGTTTTTTTTTGGGGGGGGGGGAAATGAAATTACGCTTTTTGAATGTATTGGACTGTAGCTCTCTGGTCGTCCATCCCGGCATTTTTTTCAGACCATGCAAAGAACTTCAGATCTGAGGGTTACTAGCAATAAAACATGAATGAAGATTTGAACCTAATGACGATATCAGGACGTAAAAATACTGTAGAGGTACCTTTTTCCGTGTGGGATTAATTTAGGCTATATAGTATATATACGCCGTCAAAATTTTTAGGTGGAATTTCTTACAACGTTCTTAAAGTACATTTAAGACATACAGTGGCATTCCAAGAAATCCGCGTAATTTCCTATCCGCAGATTGAATAGAAATTGTGATTCCGCGGAATTATGGCCCCGTGAAAAAAAGTAAGTTTACAGTATGTCATCCTTACAGTTTCTTTGTATATTTTTGTCTATTCCTAGTTATCATCATTTATTTGTCCCTCCTAAAACCAATTTACACCCCCCCCCCCCCCACACACACACACACCAAAGACTGAGGAATGAAAATAGCAATGGCAAAATATGAATAAGAATGTACTTGAAATCATTACAAATCTGTATCACCGTCACTTGATAAAGAGGTCGTTGATCCAAAGAAGTTTCTCTATAATTGATAGATGACATTTTACATGTATTTTCGATTGAATGTGCCATCTTATGCAAGTTGTTTGATTTCATTATTTTGATCATCTTATAATAACAAACTGTCAATGTATTAGTCATGTACTCAATGGCACTTAAAAATTGTTATTCATTGAAAGACACTACACTAGTTACTTAACAGAAAGTGAAAGCAAATACGATGTCAAACCAAATCATGGTAGTGACTTTTCTCTACAGAGTCAGTCATCCATTCCCAAGATAGTCTAAAGGATAGGATAATTTAAATAAAAAACAAAACAACTCTAAATGTTCATTTATAAAACTTAAAGTTCCAGTGATAACGGTGTTCGAATAAAACATACACACATGTATATATGCGTATTTCCAGAAATCTGATGGTACAATTCGTTGACTCTATATACAGAAATCCTTATATAAAATTAAACTTAATGAACATATCATTTATATAGAGGGACGCGGGCTCTCGTCTGGTCAAACTTGAACCAAGTTTAAAATTTGCTCGTTATTTTTGGAGAAAGACTGACGATAGCCTATTCAATCTGAAAACCAAAAAGTTGAGAATTCTCACACAAATAAGAATTAATCTTTATTACCACATGAATGATACCAAATTTTACTATAAATAAAACCTGTGTATTATAAAAATACTATCGCAAATAAGAGCAGCTTCACAGTAATCAATTTAAGGCTTGTATAGAAACCACAGTGTGTATTCCTATTAAATGGGAGAGGTTTCTGTCTTTCAAATTATAAAAATATTCTTTATCAGAATCTAAGTATAAGAATACCTTGGCCGACGTTGACGACAACGGGTTGTTTAAGAGTGACCAAATTCTGTGTCGAATATCCGTGTCTCCAAAACTACTCCCGCTGTCCACTATGTGAAGCTTTTCAGGGACGGTTTCAAACATTTTCTGCAAGTCTTCATAATCAAATATTTCGTCTAGGGAATCATAATAATACTTCCTACAGCAGTGTGATAAGCATGACCCATTCAGACCCCAGTATTTCATTTCACTCAACAGCTTCTTTGCACATATAAATCTGGGAATGTGCATTTCCCCATACCGGTAAAAATCTAGTATGTATGGAAATAATTCCGGATTTCTATCGAAAAAATACTCATTGTTCATGCGATCATATTCTTCACTTTTAACACTTAAATTTGCAAGTCTAGTTCCAGGAACGGTTCTAATCGTGCCATTATACACTGAAAATTTAGTTCCACCAACATTGATGATAATGCGATGCCAATCCACATCTCTATATTTTTTGGAAGTGACAATTTCTTTTAGTTTTCCAAACAAATCCTTTGTTCTGTCACGTCGACGACGAATTTCATAACTATCATTTTCGGACGTCTGTGAAGTTGTAGACCTAGTGATCCTTGCCAAATTATGCACAGAATGTTGGTGATCGTCTTGCCATGCCGATTGTTTTCTTACAGAAAAAGATATAACATTCATCCTTCATATTCGACTAATAGTTTGACGTTTTATTTCCCTAATTCGTCCATTTTTATACGTTTCGTGTCATTTCCGGTAACGTTCTGCGAGAACATTTCAAATGCATTGTGACGTCATTGTAACGATTGCGTTTTCTACAGCTTTTCTCGCGCGCACTCTGAGAAGTAAAGTCGTGCTACGTTAAATGAGAAAAAGTACTGTGTAAAGTTGAGACGAAGTTAGTACTTTGATTTTATTTGGACAATAACATGACCCTAACTACTTGACCAGAAAAGATTAAGCGAAGATTGACCTATAGTATACCGAGTTGAATGTTTTAGCAAGACAACGACTTGTGATTTTTATTACACGGTTGAAGTGTTCAAAGTTCATTTATTCACTGTTTATTGGTGGTTACATACTGTCATTACGATTATACTCCAACATCGCCCGTGGGTGATCCAGTCGGGAAAGTGAGAGGCATGTGCCCCCCCTTTTTTTCCTCACCTGGTTTCAAGCTAAAGAAATATCCATTGATGCATATTGTTTATGCACTTGCATAAGATGTCACATTCAATCGAAAACAAGTGTAAAATGATTCCACATAACAAATGTGTTATAACCCTTGGATAAAGAATATCTGGATCTGTCATATACTTTTAACATAAAATGGACAAAAGCTTCCATCATAAATCTTAAGATATTTGATCCAATATATATGTAAGAGTTCTTTCCATAAAAAGAAAAGGTGGGAGGAAATACAAATAAACTGCAACTATTGCTAGCTGGACACCCTTTCTAAAAAAAAAAAACCTACGGCAATAAAACACATTTTGTAAAATGCAAAACAAAAAATTATATTTCTCCCTCTCTCTCTCTAACTTTTTTCTAATTCACGTGATATTCAAGTACCGGTAGTCTACCAAAAACGGGGAATTGTCGATTTTGTTTTCTTTGAATGTGAACTCTATTCAAGAAATGCTGTGTCTGAATAATGCGCAATGCAATTGGGCAACTGAAAGCAGATCCGGTGTACTGTAGTCTACAGTTGCGCGAAGAGGTTTTAATGTTTCTCAAAGCAGCACATCTCGCCTATAAAACTGATTCCAACAGCATGGAAAAACAAATAATGACCACATGGACTTGTCACGAAATATGTGTCTGCTTTAAATATAGTTATCCCCCCCCCCCCCCAAGTTTATAGTACGGGTAACTATCTTTAAATGCAAATACAACCTCGAATGTGTTACTTACGCGTCATGGCAATGATGGTGACAGTGAAAAAATGGCCCCACCCCCACCCCCTGCCCTTGATACTGTCTGCTTCACCTGGCATATATACCAAAGATTGTAATACATTTCATCACACAGTCTCACATACAAACACACATACAAAATGGTATGGGGGGTCCAAGAAAATCCCCTCCCCTGTACCAGTCAATGAACATTTTAACTTTTGGTACTGTGAAACCAAAAATCTAAATTCTTATTTATAACTCCTTGCAGGTACCGTCAAGAAAATAATTCATTGCAGACCTATATCATCATATTAACTGTACTAGATGGCACAAATGTAATATTGGTACTGTAGAATTTTTAGACAGAGTATTTTTAGTCTAGATAAGAGAACCTTGGTCTTTCTTCACCAAATTTCACTGGTGTTATTATTTTAATTGAAGATCAAATCTTTTTTTTTTTTAAAGTTACTACGTGTAATACTTATGAATGCTTTTGACAATTTTTTAGCTCATTTTTTTTTAATAAGATAATAGAATGTATCTTTTAAAAATATTTATAGAATCTATAACTCTTTCATTGAGCCAACAGAAACTCCTTCAAATGTCAAAGCAATGTCCAAAAGATTTTGTCCCACTTCTTGTTTTTCACCCCCAGGTTGAAATTCTGCAGACAACTCTCTGAAAGTAATAGCAATCCTACGGTCTGTGATATCACACCTATGAATTCCATGCATCCAAGTATGTCTGGCTGGACCATGGACAACAATCAAAGAACGACGACACATGGGCACATGGACACTTATATCAGGGTATTCTGATGAAGTCATACAAAGTATCGTGTCTGACCCTAAGTTCAAGGTCACAAGCCTCTCTCCCCACAACCAGAAGTCATCATAATGGGGGTCTATTGATGCCCCCCTTTCTGGTACATATTCCAAATTGCATTGCTCTACTGGCTTGAAGTCCCTAAGAATTTCTATTGATTTCATTCTCTCATATAGTGGTTTGCTAAAGTTTGGTAGGCCTGTGAAAACTTCAGATTTGACTTTCTTTCTTTTGAAATTCACCTTTGGACCATAATCCTGAAAGTAAAATATAGGTTATTTTTCATTGAACCAAAAGAAGCCAAACAATTGTCATGACATGAACTTTTATCACAGTGATTATTTGTTTATTTCTCAACAATATTTTCTCTTCACCTTTATTATTGGCTATTAAATTCAGTAGAAATAATACTGTGAAAAGATATTTGAGAAATAATCAATATTGGGAAGAAAAAAACATGAATGGTGAACAAAAAAATGGTTTAGAAAACACAAGACTGGCAATGAGCCAATTCAAAGCTTTACATAGAAATATTCTCTTTTCTGAAGTAACATCTCATACAAAAAATATTATTTAAGTTGGTTTTGAGAAAAACTTAAATAACAAAAAGTCTGTGAGCGAATGCTCACTAGTAAAACCCCTGCTCTGATGTGAATATACACTCTCATGTTAACATCGGATTTGAACAAAAATGAATCCTACCATATGGCATGCCTGAAAAAAGATTGTGCTAAAATTTCAATCATCTGCACTGAGTAGTTGCTGAGAAAACTGTGACAAAAATTTGGTACGGACATATGCACGAATAAACAGGAAGTTGACATTAGATTTAAACAAAAATGAATCCCACCATATGGCATGCCTAAACAAAGAGTGTGCTAAAATTTTAATAATCTGTGATGAGTAATCGCTGAGAAAACTGCGACGAAAATTTGTTATGGACAGACACGAGGACAGACAGACAGACACGTAAGGGTAAAACAGTATACCCCCTCTCCTTCAGAGCGGGGATATAATTATAAATGTATTTTCATGATTTAAAAAACAAATAATGATATCTAGTATATGTATTTAATTATTATATTAGAAAAAGGCAACATGAGTTTAACATATACTGTGGGTTCTTAATTTTCATGAGGATCAAATTTCATAAATTTGAACACCCCCCCCCCCAAAAGTGTTGATATGTTAATTTGTGGACAGATGGTTTGTCCTATTCTATGAATAGTCAAATTTGTACTGTGGTTCACTGATCACCCAATTTCGTGATCTAGCTTAACAACAAAAATTGGTGTTCAACAAAAAAAACAAGATGTATTTGTGAAACACTGATGCTCCAGTATGGCAGCTTATGACAATGATTAAAGTTTCTTAAATGCAATTCAAACTCCAAGGTCAAGAGATCAAAATTGTTGGTACCCAAAGAAAGTACTTGTCACAAGTAATACACCTGTGAAATATGAAAGCCCTAGCACCAACCGTTCAAAAGTTAAGGCCAAGGTTGAAGTTTTACAAAAGTAGGTCAAAGTCCAAGGTAAACATCAAGAGGTCAAAAATGTTGGTACCTTAAGATAGGTCTTGTCACAAGAAATACACATGTGAAATATGAAAGCCCTAGCTCCAACCATTCAAAGTTATGGCCAAGGTTATTAAAGTTTTTGCAGACAAACAAATAAACAGATAAACAGACAGAAAGATGGATGAACAGAGCAAAAACTATACGCCCCCGAATCTTTGGGGGCATAAAATAAAAAATGAAACTTCAGTAATATATAAGATAAAGTTACCTAAACTAAAATATTCACCTGTTTTCGTCTTCCAGACTGAGATTCAACAAAGGGACTTTGATAAATGTGCTTTAAAATACCCAGCTCCTCCTCAAGAGATAAAAAGTCTCTCTGAATGAAGATTCCTGGAAATTCCAGAGAGTTCCCATGGTGATTTGGATGATCTTCACTTTTGCTTTCTTCAAAAGCTTTGTTACATAGATCACAAAAATAGCGTATTTTACTGGAACACTACAATTTATTCAATATCAAAAATGAGATATTTCATACATGTATTGTTCAGATACATGTATACATTATCTAATATATTTAGATCATTAATACTTATATACTGCATAATCTAGAAAATTAAAAATTAATCTCATGTGCCTTAGGCCTTATTGGTTTTATTACATGATTTATTATACTGTATACAGGGTTATTTTCGCCCCGTGTTATTTTTGCCCATTCACACTTGCAAACAATTTTGCTTCATTTTAAATTCGCCCAGCCACAGTTCTGTTTAAGAAATTATACTGTGTTCTTTGAATTCGCCCCATTTTAAATTTGCCCTAGAGTAGGGCGAAAGGGGCAAAAGTAAAACAGGGGCGAAATTTTCCCTGTATACAGTATGACCTTTTATATGTCCATGTTATGTTCATATATCTCATACAGTCATTTAGGGTACATGTTGAATCAGCTTTTACATTTTGACTGCAGCGATTTGATTAACAAGTTTACAACTGGTTGTTTGGTAATAAAGGAAAGCCAGTTCTATGACTAATCAGATCTACATTACAGGGTGAGTCTACCTTCAATACAGCGATCTTGATGGTCCCTGGTTATATTTACATCACCTTTTTGGTGTACTGCAGGTCACTTCTGGGTATTTTGAATTACAAGGAAAATGGGTAAAAAAAAATGGCCTGATAACAACATTATAATTTATTAATTAGTTGGTATTGTTTACCAGAAAGCTCCAAAAATAAAAATAATTTTTTTCTTGATTGTTATCAAGAAAATTAAAAATAGTTCTGGGATAATTCAAGTTACATGTATATTTAAATTTCCCGGAATGCCTCTAGAATGTTGAAGTGTCTGAATAGCTGGAATTTGTCATTTTGAATCGGGTTTTAGTATTTGCACTTAGTTCCGGGCACGTTAACAAAAAGTTTGAAAAAGTGTTTAAAAATCAAGTTTTAGGAATTATTTGCAAGGTGTGTAATTTACAGGACACTTGCTATACAAACGCGCTATATGTTAAACCATGATTATTGCCCTTGCGTCATTACCATGCAACCATGTAAACTTCGGTTCTCCCCAGGTCAATTTAGAAAAATGAGCCTCAAATCCAAGAGATTGTATCTGTTTTCTGTTGATTAAATGCGTGTTGACGACTGACAAATGCATCAACATTTAGGAAAACCATTACTGTAGGGGACAGAACTATGACAAGGAAATAAATTAATGCTTTAGAGTCCAGAAATAGGCGCTGAAGTGGATTGGGGTATTTTGTCCAAGACGAGAGCTTTCGTCCCTTGTAGAGTCACAGGGTCTTGCTCTCAGCGTGTAATAATTATTTATTAAAAATAATCATATACGGTAATACTAAAACAACACAAGGGAGGACGCCATTTTGGACCGCTTCCTCGCTTCAACCTCTGTTTTCGTTATATTTTCCCATATTTTTACTGACTCACCACCTCGGATCTGTCAAGTAATGATTCTTCTAGGACATAATGCTTAAATTTTCCCCTTGGAGCCCCTACAATACACATTTCAGACTAATAATAATCCAAACTCGCTCTTAGGACAGTTGATAGGAACAGAAACCAAAACACAATCGAAAATCCCGGGGTTTTTCTACTAGTTAACACAGCTGCTAATTATAAATTTGAAAAAAACGCGTTCTAATTCCGTATTTGAATGCAAAACGCCGAGATTACTTTCATTTTCTGAGTCAGTAAAATAAGGGAAAATATAACGAAAACAGAGGTTGAAGCGAGGAAGGGGTCCAAAATGGCGTCCTCCCTTGTGTTGTTTTAGTATTACTGTATATGATTTTTAAAAATAAATAATTATTACACGCCAGGAGCAAGCCCCTGTGGTCAGGTCCGGCACAATCTCTTGATTTAGCTATATAGCTTGATTTAGCTATATAGCTTTATTAAGCTATTCAGAATAGCTTGATTTAGCTATTTTATCACACTTTTTTCTCAAATGTATTATTTTCTCAGCATGCACAAAAAGTCGCACCTTGGTGCAATGATTATATTCAACCTTGAACTCTTCTGAAAATAATGCATGTAAAAATCACTCATCAAATTGTGTCTCCTTAAGAGACTTTGTACTCAAAGTTCTAAACTAAATGACTGTATCTATACGTTTGTAGAGAAACAGAAAACATTTACCTTGATTATTTCATTTTCTTTCCTTTCTTTTTCGCAGACAAGGCAAGATCGAATACCTTTACAACCGCACTGTGACATATTTTTACCCTATGTCAACACTGGAAAAATAAATTGCACTGTAAAATTAAAGCTAAGAAGAGGAGACTTGCTGAATCCGTATATGACGTGTTCATTCATTGAAAAGGTCAAATTCCTGAAAAAATAAATTTAGGAACCAGTCTTCCAGGTGGAGTAGATTTTTTATGTTTTGTAAAAATGTGCCCCCGGGGGGATCCAGAATTTCAAGTAAGGGGGAGGGGGTGCCTACATGACAGCAGAAATAATTAAGGACACATCCAGAGGAATCCGTAGGGCCAAGGGGGAAAAACCCTTCATACACTGTATTCTCTAACAAACAAAAAAAATTGCATCTTAACAAGCCAAGTGATTCTGATCTGATACACTACTGAGCTAGAAAGGGGAAGGGGGACACGAAAAAGCTATTTCGAGGGGTGGGGTGGGGTTTGGCATAGTTTCATCACAAAAGGAAACCACTCTCCTATATATTTCAGCCATTATTATGTTTCTTCACTGACATTTTTTTTTTTTTTTTTGGAAAATTTAAGGGAGGTGCGCCCCTAGATCCCCCATCCCCACTAATGACAGTAGGTATTGTAATTTTAATATACTATCAAATCTTATCATAGATCCACAGCTGTTCAATAGAGGTTTCAATTTGGTCATACACAAACTAAATAACACAAATAATCGTTTCTTCGATACGTTTTTTTTTTTAATCTTTGTAACGGGTATTAATTCAGTTGTGTAATTAATCGAAAGTTATTAACTTTTTTATGAGAAAAAATATATTATAAAGAAATGAAGCTTCTTGGCATCTAATTATTCGGACTAAACAACTTTTAGGTCAATATCTACTATTATCTAGTAAATAAAAGGTGCCTACAGATGTATATGATACTTTATAATTGTAGCTTGGTAATATAAAAAGTGTATCGAGGCATAATTTTTAGGTAAACACAACGATAAAACATATTTTAAAATGTTGCGGTCGTTTTCAGTGAAAAATCAAGATATAAATGGGAGATTTTTTCCACATCAGACAAAAGAAACAATTATCCAGATTTCCAACAACATCTCAGAAAACCGTTATTTACATCTTCTTCACCTCTTCTAAAAAATAAAATAAAATTGAATACATGTATAGCCCTGGATTACTTTTCAAATTTAATTCTATGAAAATGTTTTATTTTCTTCATAATTCCATTATAGGGAAAATTATTTTGACGTCATAACCAATCTAACACCAAAGGTCAGTATAATCTCATTTAGTAAATCTTGACCTATCTTATTTTTTGCCCGAAATGAGGAATTTTGCTACTATCTCTACTAAATATAATATTATATATACATTTTTTAACATATACTATTTAAAGCTCTATATGGCGTATCTGAGCTAAAAAAAAAAATAAATAAATAAGAATACGAGATTGAGTATAGACAAACATGATATATGTTATTTACGTTCAAATTAAAATTTTCACCGATTTTGAAGCTGAATAACCCCATGTTTCCATAGTTAAACTGACTTTAAACTGTGTCTGTTATTTAAATGCAGAGTCTGTAAATGAATCGGTTATTGTTTAAATTTCTAACATCTTTGAAACGTCATTGATTCAAATTGTGTTTACAGGAAACTTCTATCTTTATATAAAGTAATAAAACAAACAGCAAGATCTTTTTTAATTTTAGCTAGTCTGAACTTATAAAAATACGCCATATATTACTTTAATTTTTCGGCACCCGGCTGAGAAAATGAAGAAAATTTCAGAAATGATTACGCATGTCAAATTAGTCTGAAAATATTTTTCTTCGAAATTGAAAAATATTTATACTATACGAATTTGACACTGTGTTTAAATTGTTTGCTTAAAATGTCAAAAAGATAACTAGAGGTCATATTGTAAATTTTTATATCAAAGAAAAAATATTCCTCAGGGTATTCTGTTTACATTTTTAAAGTGTAAAATGTTTTCATTAAAACTGTACATTCTATAAAGCAAGACAATGAAATTTATTGTGTTTACATTATCTTTCCATCAAGATGAAACCGATAACGTTACATTTGAAATAAAATTTGATTAAAATAGACGTAGTCGTTTGTAAACATATAAACAAATAATTATCAGTGTCTCTGGTATACATGCTTTGGCATAAAAACACTTACTATTAAGCATTTAAAATTTTTGAACTCACTCCGTTGATAATTATTTTATATCGGAAATATCAAAAAGCTTTTGTTGTTTCTTTCTGATATGTGGCATTTAAAAGATCCTGTTTGAAAACGCGGGAAAAAGTTGAAGAAAAATATGAGCAGGTACAGTGTTTAATTATTGAACCTTTTAAATAATTAATGAAGTGCTGTCGAAAAATAATTAAAAAAAAATATTGAAAGCATAGGATTCATATTGATTGATTTTATAGTACAATTTTTTGTATGAAACCGCTAATATCAATATAATTTCGGTAAATTCGAGTAGTGATGGGCACATCATATTTTTTTTTCTTTTTGTTACTTTACGTGCTAAGATGTGAGAGGTCACTTTTAATTTTTTTTCCCGGTGGTCTGATGGATCCATACGGAGGTCTAGTTTGTGCATCAAAAAACATTTTAAAATAAAAACAATTCTTAGCTTTGCTGTGTACGTGTTGAATTTGAATGAACTCGGTGTTCTTTTAGAGTAGAGTTTTGTTAGATTCTACAAATCTTGAAAGATGCATTGAAAGACATTTTTTAATAATTTCAACAGCAGTATAATTATTACATATTTTGATGTTATTGAAAATAGCAAAAAAAGAATAATATTAACTGTTTAAAGAAATTAGACTTCAGTTACAAATTGAGATAAAAGAAAGTGCATCAATTTGTTAATTGCAACAAATTAGATAATTGTTCATTAATTTTTTTGTAACAAATTATGATCTAATTTGGGGGTCACTTCAAACAAAAGTCAAACAGAGCCTGTTAAATGTGACACTTTATACTGAGTTTTCTAATTATCTCTCTTGCAATTATCTTGGAACGATTATCACACCTGCCAAATAATGAACTCCCTCACATCCCTTTGATCTTGGGATATTGAGTAAAGTAGGGGACTTCCACAAAGGGTTGGATGATTCCATTTTTTCAAGTTACAATTTTTTGATATTACATGTATCACTTAATCAGTGACACCAGAAGAGTAAACAGCAAATTGATCAGGTAAAAAAAAAAAATCAATCTTGCCTATACAAATGTACAAACATTATTTGGTATTCTGTAAATAATTGCAAAATATTTTGTAATTAACCATATCTACATATGTAAGAATTTAAGCTGTTCCTTGCATTTGTCTTCCTTAAATAATTTTATCTTCTAAAAAAAATATTATTTTTGAAAATTCAAATCAAGAAATTTGTGTAGTATCTTTTTTCTCCTGTGATAAAAAGCTGAATGTTTTGATAGATTGATTTGGTTTGTTCATGATTTTATTAATGTTCCTTATAACTTTTTTGCCCATGAATTTAATTTAAACATGTATTTCATTTAAGTAGACGGTTTTATGAATTTTTTTTTTTAAAAAGTTCTGCATGCTGTTTTTATTTATTTATTTGGAGTATTGTAAACTGAGAGCGAAGAATCAACAGAAATTAATTTATCATTATATTCACTGGCATGTTTAATTTAATAGTGTTTAATTCTTTTTTTTTTTTTAATTCAGAACAGATACAAACACTTTTTTTTTTTAGGAAAGAACAAATTTAGTACTTGAGCTTAATGTTATGTATTTATATTTAATGTTGTTTTCAATCAGGTAGTCCTTTATGGATATTTTATTGGACCACTGTTCTCTAATGAATTCAAAACCAGACTGACTTGTCAAAGAGTAATAGCCTATTAATTTTGGCCCCTGTTGAAGATTCACACCAAAACCAATCTCTAATGGGCCTTAATTTTTTTGGAGAGACATTTTGTTCTATATAAATTAAATTTTATAAACATAAATGTGTGTTTGTGTACATGTACTTTACATATTGGTTATATCTTGACTTGATTAGAAAAATGTTTATATAGTTAAATGTTAGCTAGATTTGGCAAGAAATTAGTGCTGACTTTCACCCATGTTCAATACTTAGTATCACAATTACCTCACAGTTATCTAACTTAATGGCGCTCTTTTGCGGCGAAGTCGAGTAAACTCAAAATCTCGCGAGATTTCCAGGGCATGAATTACTTACGCTAGCGACAGTCAAATGATTCGAATAATTAGTATGCAGAAAGTACAATGTGAATTGAATTGAACATATTTTATTGACAAAGTCAAAAGGATCGGACACAAGTTCAGAAACTTAGATAGTCTTCTCCTAATACAACATTTTGTTAAAATTGCCAAAATAAAAAACATATATACATATGGTCTACTACATATACGTAGTTATAGAAAGAAAAAAAAAAGTTTTAAGTGTACAAGTATAACTTGAATTGGTAAGAAGAAAATTTTTTTAAAAAGTAAGCTTATTTTGAAAAACGACCACATTCATTTAAGAAAGTTTGAATGGTTTTGAAAAGTTCAACATTTTGTTCAATAGTAAGAGAATCATCTCCCCATAACATTAAATGTACATCTATAACATATAAATAATTAAATGATAAAAGCTTATTCATTAAGGAATTCCTTGCTTTTACATAATATTTACAAGCAAAAAACAAATGATATGCATCTTCTAGTAGTCCACCTACAGAGGAAAATTGATTTCTATACATGACTTGTTGTGTTCTATTGCTTAAATAACTATCAAACCAATCTAGCATATCACCATTGATTCCATACATTTTTAGTTTGTAAATTAAGCCTTTATGCCAGACTCTATCAAATGCCTTGGATAAATCACAAAACACCATACAACAGAATTTACCTTCATCAATACTTTTTACTATAGAGTGGTATGTTTCTAAAAGTTGATATACTGTGGAATGACCTGGTAAAAAACCTGCTTGATATTTATAAAATATATTATGTGAATACAAGAAATTGTATACATGTTTAAAAATGATTCTTTCAAAAATTTTGCTTATACAACTCAGCAAAGAAACTGGTCTATAATTTGTAGTGATGGAAGGGTCATCTTTCTTAAATAGTGGAAGAACATGTGCTAGTTTCCAGCAGTCTGGAAAAGTTTTTAGTGTTAGGGATTTGTTGAATAGTATACACAAAGGTTTTGAGATAGTGTCTTTGCAAGATTTTAACATTTTATGGCTGATGCAATCAGGACCTACTGTTTTATTAACAGGAATAATAGAAATTATATCAATAATTTCCTGTTCTTGTATTTTTATATCCGGAAAATTATCCTTACATCTAGACACTATATTTGGGAGCTCCTGATTACTGTCATCTAAGACTGTAATTGATGTGAAATATTTGTTCAATAGTTCAATTTTATCTATGTCTGAAAATGCAAAATTTTCAGTGCCATTGTTGGCTGTAAACTGAATAGGTGGAATTTCATTTGTTGGTTTAATGTGAAAAGTGTCTTTCAGTAACTTCCAGTATAGTTTTTGATTGTTCAGACTAGCATCCTTGAGATGAGAATCTATATTGTCATAATAGTTTTTGATAGCATATTTTTTCATGTTATTAAACTTATTCCTTACCTTCCGAAAAATTTCCATATCGGATTCTCTTTTTGTTTTTTGTGCTATTTTTCTTAGCCTATTGCGAATACGCAAAGTTTTCTTTAGAAGAGAATCCATCCATGGTTTATCATTTGGCCTTATGGTTACAGTTTTTTCAGGTATGCATTGGTGAATAATAGAATTAAACTTTTCCGTGAAGTTTGCTGTTGCAGTATTAATGTTTTCTGTAGCATCAATAAGGCTATTCCAGTCGCATTGTAGGATTAAATCATTGAGGAGTTTTAAATCTGCTAGCTTATAGTTCCAAATTTTACGTTTATATGCCGCATTAACATTGGTATTCTGGTGAATATATATATAAGTTGCTTTATGATCACTAACTGTATTACTAACGTTCAATGTTCCAGAATCATGTACATGTATATTGTCACTAATAATGATAGGATCTATAAGGGTTTCTGTATTGCAAGTAATTCTTGTAGGTTCATGTATGATATTTGTTAATCTACAGCTGTTCATTATTGTATGAATCTCATGTGAGTTGTTAACTTTTAAGAAATCAGTGTTAAGGTCACCAAGTACTACAATATTGCTGGAGATATCACAAGCTTTTTCAAAGGACCAAGATAGTTTTTGCCAAAAGACACTATTAGTGTGTGGTGGACGATAAATACAGCATATAAGTAGATTTCCCTTTACTTGTGGTATTTCTATCCAAATGAGTTCAGTATTAATTGGTTCTAAATCTTCTCTTCGACTAGCCTTAATTAAATTTGAAACATAAATCATTACACCTCCACCATAAGAATTGCGATCTTTTCTAAAAAAATTCTTAAAACCTTCTATGAACAAACTTTCATTTGTAACATGTGTGTCTAAATGAGTCTCACTAAAACATAGTACATCAAAATCTTGAACTAAATACATTAGGGAATCAATCTTATTTCTGATGCTTCTAATATTAAGGTGCAGGATATCAAGAGAGTTTGAAGCAGGTGGGCCTGGGTTTGTTTCAATATCACCAGATAGCAAAAGAATGACAAACATGAATAATTGTGCAAAAAAATTAATTCTGAGAGACCAAGATGACATATTTTTATATTGTTTTTTGAAGATACTGGATATGAATAGCAAAATATCTAAAAGTGTAGTAGATTTTGAAACTTTAAAAGCAGACCTTGACAGTATATTATGACATTTAATGTAAAAAACCCCAATCGCGGCACGGTGTTGTTCAAGGGAATTACCCATTATCAAAAACTGTGGTTAAGCAAAATCCAAAGTTTGATTTGCAACTGGGCCGCATTGAAATGGGATTTATTGACATTGTAATTATTTGGCAATATATGAGATGTGTCAATTCGAAATAAATAGAAAATAAAAAAGCACAAAACAGTAAACATAAAATTTGAAAAAAGAAGTGCATTAACTCGCACATTTCCCACGTAGAAATTGGGAGATGCATTATGAAAATAACATGAAAAACGGGTAATAGAGTACCGCTGTACATAACTGAATTGTAGTATTTACATGCATGTGTTGGGATGTAAATAATACGAGACAGAACGATATAACATCCAACTATATACACATGCAGATCGATTTGAAGACAGCGTGACAAACATAATAGTATAAGAATAAATTTGAACATACTGTACATATGTTTGGGACATCCGTTATGTTGATCTGTCAATCACATGTTTATAAATGAAAACGAAAGTAGGTAAACACTGATTCGACGAGGTTCCAAGCGTCTGAGAGACGCGAACACGTGGAAATGTTTATAAACACAGTGTTTTACAATTTTGGCGTCGAAGCAAGGAACTGTTCGTCTACGTTGTCATCTTGGAAACACTCTAGGTCCTCTGTTGTGTTTATCAATATTTTCTTCCCATGGTGACCACGGAGTTTCGCATATATTCGACCGTCATACGTCCAGCAGCTGTCAAGTTTTTTGTTTTTTACTACTTGGCGAGTTTTCCCATACAGTTCCGCCCGTCTGGACGTCAAAGCTTCGTTGATGTAGATGGGTCCAGTTTGTTTTGTTGGGTTTTGGTTGTAGGATTTTAAATTTCGTTTGTTTCCATAAACTCTAGCTTTATCTCTGTAACTAATGAATTTTACTATAATGTCTCTGGTTTTCCGGCTTGGGTCGTATTTGCCTACTCTGTGTGACCTTGAAATATCTTTGGTCGAGATTTTCTCATTGTTTTCATTTAGAACCAGGTTGTTGATGACATTCAGAACTAGTTTATCAGTAGATTCGTTTTGTTCTTCAGGTATGCCAGTGATTTTTAGACAATTTCGCCTTGAATATTGTTCCATTTCGTCGATTTTCGACGTGAGCTTATTTATTTCTTTTCTGAGTGAGCCTATCTCCGAGACAAAAACTCCAGCAAGAGCGTTTTTAAAGTTATCTTTATTGAGTATAAGAGTGATTGCCTGTTTGAAGACGTTTTCATCCGAGGAAACGGAGTCTAACAAATCATTGAGTTTGCTTAGATCACCAGAGAGTAAAACGCTACTGTCCTGTCTGGCTCTCTTGCTTGGATTTAACTCAGTATTGTCAGTGGCCATAGTGCTTTACACGATGTATAAACAAACAGAAGTGTAGAGGCCTTGAAGTTCTAACGTAGTCTTGCTTATGAGTAGTGAGTAGGTGCTCACAATGGCGACATACACTCTATATAGAAATAACTTTTGGGAAATTGCTAACACGAATAACTCTTAAATAACTTTTTTTTCAAGACTTTTTTGTTACATATTTAACTTACATAGTTCCAGTAATCACTCATTCCTGAATATCCTATTTCAAATCACTCAAAAAAGACAAACATTATCGGAGCCCCACAAAGTCCGTCCTGTCTACATAGTGACGCAAAGGGTTGAACTTCAAATAGTAGGTTTTTTAATTTGGAATGTTTAGAGTTTTTTTTATCAGCTTCCTAAAGTAATGATTATCAGAAAGAAATGACTGAATTTAATTAGAAGAGTCGGCTTAGTGAACATGGTGAAAAAGTATCAATAAAAATGTTACACATGAGGACTAGGTTCTCTTAAAATTTATAAGCATGGTTCAACGAATGTTCCGCAAGATATTTCACCGGGACTTCTTTCTTATCTGCCCTTTAAAAATCCACAATGCTTGATCTCGTGTTGTAGGCAAAAGCACATTGCCCCCAGCTAACAGACGTTTCCTACCTTCACGAAAGAGTTCCATTAAGTTAAGTAATCGCGATATCAAGTATTGTAACCCTGTTACAATGCTATTTAATCCAGTATCAAAGGTTAAATAAATATCTCTAAATTAAAGGATGGTCATTTAAATCCAGAAGGGGGTCTAAAAAAAATTTTAAGTTACACTGGTTACAATTTTATTCCTTTGGTTACAGATCATCTGAAACCAAAAGGGGTGTTTATTAGCTCTACTGGTAAGAGACCAGAAGAGCTTATGGCATAGTAAGGTGTCCATCTGTGTGTCTGTCTATAATAGGGCTGTCACGGTTCCAAAATTTTTCGGGTCGGGTCGGTCCTGTAAATTTTCGGTTCGGTTTTGGGTTTTTCGGGTCAGATATGTACATCTATTTTAAACCTTAATTTCATGAATTAACTTGAAAAATCTTTATTTGTTACATTAAATTTACATTGAAAACAAGTATTAACCATGCGAACGTCTAGACTTCGGTGACTTGGCCTACTATTAGCCACAACCTGACCATTCCTGCTCGTTTTGATAATTATCTAATACTTCCGTGACAAGTGTTTTGTCACGGAATGAAGTAGATTTCAGTTATGACGTTTATTTATCACTGTTATCGTCATCATTCCTTTGATTTCGACGCCATTTTTTGTAGTGAACAGACTCTAATATATAAACCAGACCCGAACCGAAATCCGGAAAAATGGAACCGGAACCGAACCGAACAACTTGGACCGAGGTTCTCGGTTATTTCGGGTACTCGTGACAGCCCTAGTCTATAAACATTTTTTCAAAATACTACTCCTCCTACTGATTTCAATATAATTTGGCACACAAGTAGACTGCACTAAAGATACACAATTCTGTTATCAATTTTTGATTTCAATGAATGGTGTTGCCATGGTTACTAAAAATAGAAATTTCTGTAAATACGTTCAAAATGCTATTCCTCCTACAGTTTTGGTCTAATTTCAATATAACTTGGCACATAAGTAGACTATACTTAGGTACATAATTCTATTTATCGGTTTTTGATTTCAATGAATGATATTGCCATGGTCACTAAAAATAGAAATGTCTGTGAAATACTTTCAAAACGCTACTCCTCTTAGAGTTTTGGTCTGATTTCAATATACAAGTAGACTGAAGTTATGTACATAATTCTCTATATCGGTTTAAGATTTTGATGAACGATGTTGCCATGGTTACTATAAAGAGAAATTTCTGTGAAATACTTGCAAAACACTACTCCTACGGTTTTTGTCTGATTTCAGTATAACTTAGCACACACGTAGACAACACTAAGATAAATAATTTTTTATATCATTTTTTGATTTCAATGAATGATGTTGCCATGGTTACTAAAATCAAAATTTCTGTAAAAATTTTTTAAAAGGCTACTCCTCCTACACTTCTGATTGCAATATTCTATTTATTGCTGTTGCAAAGTTTCAAATCCAAGTGCAACTTTTCTCTTCCCTCTCCTTTCCTTTGTTTTTAGTTCAAACCAGTAGAGCTACAGTCTCATCAGAGACTTCTGGTTTTTAGGAAACACTGGTTATAACAGTTTTCTTTGCTGACAATCAGTTACAATGGTTACAGATCATTTGAAACAAAAAGGGTCTTTATTTTTAGGTTACACAGGTTACAACTATATTCCTTAAGTGACAATTCATTTAACAATTGGGATCTTGTAGATACAGCTGTAACCACTGTTACCATTGTAAACAGTGTAACCAATTACCAGTAATAACTGAATAAATGAAGAAAGGTGTTCATCAGAAGCTTATGTATAAACCAGTGTTACTGATTACAAATGTAAATAAAAATTTAACACTTTTAACTATTGTAACCAGTGTAATCAATTCAAAACTGAATAAATGCTCCCCATTGAAAAGGTTATTTAACCCTTGTTACTGGTTACAATTGAACATAGGTGAAAGCTCTAAATTCTTGCCATTGAACATAGGTGAGAGTCAGCACTAAATTCTTGCCATATATGCCTTTTTAACAAACAAGACAAAATAATTTTTTCAAGTATTCATTTTCAAATATGTTTATGATGCATATTTTGGATTCTGTGAAACCTAGCATCATCAAATCTTGTCAGTTGATGCATTCCCTGGAGTATATAATCAGTATATCAACTAAAAAGCATCACAGTGACCTACTTTTGGAATTAAGGAATTTCATGCTACATTTTTATATTACAGATACTAAGTGGATTAGAACCACCAAATTTTGTCAGTTCATGCATCTCATGTCCTTAGAGTGTGTCAACCAAAAAGTAGGTCACTGTCACATACTTTGAGAATTTCTTGGCTATATCTAAATATTATAGATAAGGCCAAAAAAATAATAGTCTTGTTTCCTGCTACCCAACCAACCTTATTTTTTGCACCCAACTCTAAAGTGTTTTTTAGTTTTGGAGAGAAAAAAATCGAGAATTTCCGGAATTTCATGTTCCAAAACTGAAAAAAATATATATTCAAGTGGTATTTCATGAAATTCTATGTTTTAAATATGGACTTTCATAAAATACCACTTGAGTTGTGCATCAAAAGACATAAAATTTTAATTTTTAGAGACAATATTGATCTATGACATGTTTAATTTAATCTTGTTTTAGTTCATGTCCAAAAATATCGTTGGGGAAAAAAAAAATTAAATTAAAAAAAAAAAATTTTCCTACCTACCTACCCTATTTTTCTCAGGCTGGTAGCAGGAAACAAGACTAATATTTTTTTTGGCATAAGAGGTTTAAAATCATCAAACTCTGTCAGTTGATGAATACTGGGTCCTCAGAGTGTTTCAACCAAAAAGTAGGTCACCATGGCCTATTTTTGGAATTTTCACACTTTTATCTCAACATAAAGAATACTAAGAGTTTTCATACCATTAAATTTTGACAATTGATGCATCTTAAATCAATGGACTGTGTCAACTAAATAGTATCACAGTGACCTACTTTTAGAGTTTCATAGTAGTATCTCTATATTAAGGATACTAAGAGTAATCAAACTTTGTTAGTTGTCACTTGGGTCCTCAGAATGAGATTGTGTCAACCAAAATGTAGGTCACTGTAAACATCTTTGGAATTTCAGGGATGTATCTAAATATTTTCAATTGAAGTCATTGAATAATAAGAGGCTTAAAATCATCAGACTTCTCAATAACTGGGCTTAACTGTTTATTCTGGTTAAAAAAGAGATTTTAAAAAATGCTTGGTTATAATATCAAAATAAAATAAAAAGATCTTCATGTACATTTATGATGAATTTCAAGTATTTTTAGCTCACCTGTGAGCTTTTTAATCACATTTTATCCATCGTCCGTCTGCCCAGCTGTCCGTCCGTCCATCTGTCTGTCCATCTGTAATCTTTTCAGATTTTCAACTTCTTCAGAATCACTAGGCCAATTTCAACCAAACTTGCCACAAAGTATTCTTGGGTGAAGGGGATTCCAGTTTGTTAAAATAAAGGGCCACATCCTCTATCAAGGGGAGAAAATGAATGGAAACTTTGGTTTTATCTTTTAAAAATCTTCTCAAGAACCAACTGGCAAAAAATGTTGAAACTTATATGAAACCTTCTTTACATAGTGTAGATTCAAATTTGTTCAAATCATGACCCCAAGGGGTAGGGTGGGGCCACAATGGGGAATCAAGTATTACATAGGATTGTGTAGGAAATTTTTTTTAAAGAACAACAAACCCATGATTACCGGTAGTCATTATAATATGGAAAAGGGTTTTCACTAGGATTTTGCTAACTTGAGTCCCAGGATTCAAGATTTCTGAGAAGGTTGAGTCCAAGAACCATGACAAAGAATTAAATTAATGCTTTAGAGAATTCAGACATAGGCGTTGAAATGGATGGGGGTATTTTTTCCAAGATAAGAGCTTTAGTCCCTTGTAGAGTTTATGTATATAGGTGTGGTAAATCTATTTTAAACGTGGTTTTTCTTGACTAAAAGTGTCAGAATCTTTATTTTAACAACTTTTAAGTGTATTTAAAGTAGATTCAAAATTTTATTACGGTAATTTATTTCACATTAAATAATCCCAAAGACAAGTCCCTGTGGGGTAGAGTAGGACCACAATGCACTGTAAGAGTTTAACATAAGGATGTATGGGAAAAAATTCTCTAAAATCTTTTTTCTCAAGAACAGTAAAGCTATATTTAGTCTCATTGATATAGAAGTATCTTGAGGTAGTGTAGATTCAAGTTTGTAAAAATTATGACCCTGAGGGTAGGTTGGTGCTACATCTATAAAAATCATGACATCTGGGGGTTAGGGTTGGATTATAATAAGGATCAAAGTTTTATATAGGAATATATATAGAAAAATCTTATGAAGAACTGCAGGGCCATATTGAGTCATGGTAGCATTGTGGCCCATTGGCCTCTTTTTTTAACGACATCACGTCATATGACCCCATAGACTAGTTGGGATCGTTTGTCAAGTTCTGTGTAATAATTTATGTCTTTCAAAAGAAAACTTTGATGGTTGAGAGTCTTTCATTATTAAATGCTGTAAATTATATTTTATAACAGAGCATTCACTAAACATGCTAAACACATTTACTTTTCTGTTGTAGGAAAATGAAACAAGTGAAGTCATTGTCAGTGGGTCTTATTGGACAGGTCGAGGGGTCGCAGAGACTACCCACCATCAGATCACTCATGTAAGTGTTTAATAGGAAAGTTCGAGGGGTCACAGAGGCTACCCACCATCAGTCTGATGGCATCAGATCACTCATATAAGTCTTAAAGGTTTATAGGACAGGTTGAGGGTCACAAAGACTGCCCACCGTCAGGTCACACATACTGTAGATTCCTAAATATACGCGCGGAATTAATTATCGCGTTATTACACGAGAAGCACCACTCGCGAAATAAAATTACTCGCTTTTATTTTTATGGTGCTTTAATGTATGTAAAATCTCTAGATAAATTACTCATTCGCGAATTATTGATCTCGTGATTTGACGCCCTTGGGCCATTTCGCGATATTAAGTACTCGCGTAAAATAAGGAATCTACAGTATAAGTCTTAGTGTTTTATAGGACAGGTCAAGGGTCAAAGAGACTACCCACCATCAGGTCACACATGTAAGTCTTAGAGTTTTAAGGAGGCTCATTACACCACTTTTTGATGACGTACTATACAGAAAAATAAACCTCCATTGTTTCGTCCGTTTTTTTCCTGGGGACGAACTGTACAGGTTCGCTTTGCTGATGATCTAAATCTTTAAAACACTCTAAAAATAGACTATATGCGATGTTCACTATGTTGTAAACAATGAAAACAAGGTAATGGATTCATTATAAATAAAAAACAAAGGGTAATTTTTAAGTAAAGACCAAAGAGAATGACAGTCAAATGTTTGCTACCCAAGTAGTGTACAATGTCATAGCTAAAGCAGCAAGTTCTACCACTGACAACATGTATATATAGAGGAAATTCGAGTTGAAATCTTCAACCTCGTTGAAATAAATTATAATTGACTTGCGCATTTAGAGTACTGTACTCTTGTTGGTTTGTATGCTTGTCATTTATTTCTTTGAAACATGTCTATTTATTCTAGAAATTTTTGCTTTAATATTCTGAATCTGATATGTCCAACCGTTCCTGAGCGTTTTGAGTCAGGAGGATTTAGGAAAGATAACTCTTGCAAGTGGACTTTTAATTCCAATTATTTTTTAAATCTGAATTTTCATTTCTTTAAAACATTTTTCATTCAATTTGTCACTTGTTATTCATTAATATACATTCCTTGTCTATTTATAACTGATTTTCCAAATTATTCATGCAAAGATTAAGAAGAAAATCACATTTATTTTTTTTGGGGAGAAAATTATTTTTTCTAATAAAAATATATTGAATATTATGAAGTGTTGTTATATTGCTTACATTATCTGAAGATGACATCCATCACTTGACACTGAGATTTCTGCAATACTATCAATCAGAAACTTGAAATAAAACATTTAACCAAAATCAGAAAAAAGATAAAAAAAATCTTTAAAAAATATTTATCGTATCATAACCTCCATTTGGATATTTGAAATCCTCATAATAAGTGGTGCTGTAATGAAATCTAAAATAAACTGTGGGTGTAATGAGCCTCCTTAAAGTACAGGTCAAGGGGTCACAGAGACTGCCCACCATCAGGTCACACATTTTAGTCTTAGAGTTTTATAGGTCAAGGGTCACAGAGACTACCCACCATCAGGTAGGGGAGTAGCGATACAGCTGATGCTTATCACAGACACTGTATACCCTGATAATATGCCATGATACACAGAGACTGTATCACAATCAATATTTACTGTTATATATTACATTTAATTTTTTTTTAACAAATTATGTCTCTTTTTAAATAAGAAACCATTGGCTAGTTTGCCATCAGTGTCTTTCGCAACACCAAAATATGAAACTGTGACAGATGTGTTAGACTGTATAATATATTTTTTTAATTTTCTGAAGAACAACAAGGCAATGTGTAGTTTTATGGATAAAAAAAGCATCATCAGTAGTGCAGATTCAAAATATGTAAAATCTTGAACCCAAGGGATAGGATGGGGCCACAATAGGAGATCATAATTTTACATGGAAATAAGCAGGAAAATGTCTTTAAAATATTTTTCTAGAGAATGAACAATGGGGCCATGCATACATGATTAATTGCATAACAACACGTCAAGCATCATCAGGTATTCATAAATGTGATAAGTTTCAGACAAAAAATGTCAATTAAAAGGATACATATTTAATACATACCGGTATACTAAATTTCAAGTCTACAATGGCATTAGAACTATTACTATTGCAAGCAATTATTACAGAATTTTTGTTGAATTTTATATTCACAACTATGCCCAGCAATGTTGAATTTTGCATTTAAGACTGTCTTTAGTAAAGTGTATCATGCGAGAATCCCTGTCTCTCTGACTCTGTGTTAAAATGGACAGTACCATGGGCCAAATAGGCTGGAGAATGAATTTTTTGTAAGTGACTCTCAAGAATGTTGTTTTCTTTCTTTTGACAAAATACTACAGACTTAATAAGTTATAAATAAAAACCCAGGACTCTACATTAACTTTTTTCCCTACTTGTTCTTCCGGACAAGTGACCAAGACATTTACTTGTCCGAACTTCAACTTCACTTGTCCAAAATTTTTTTAATAAAGATCTAATACTGTCAACTTGAAATTATTAATTAAAATAAAGTCCATTATATAAGTGCTTGATTGATTTGTGATGTTATTAATAAATACAACAAACACACAAAACAAAATTTCATCTAGATTTCCAGTCCTGTCAACAACATAAATTTTGGCTAGTGAAACTGTCAACATCAAACAGAATCTAAACTTTGTAAGATTATAGACATATAAAAGAGGGTGTAGTGTGAACTAAATTATATAGCAATTCATATCGGGATCCAAGTACAGTTTATATACTAAACTACTGATAAACTTTTCACCAGTCATTCTTTTTATGAATTGAAGACTTCATTACATAAAAAAGCACTTGTCCAATCGGACAAGTGCCAAGCAATATTCACTTGTCTGTAATTTTCTTTCACTGGTACCAGACAAGCGGACAAGCGTTAATGTCGAGTCCTGAAACCCTCCTATAAAACAATTCAATCTATAGTAAGAGAATTTTGATACATGGTTATGCAGGGTTCTTCACAAGGGGTATTACCATGGCAGCCCGCCATGGTTAGCATCATGGTTAAACGAGCTGTGCCATGGTTAAAATCGGCAACCACCATGAATAAATTTTTATTGCATTTTAGTATTGACACCTACTTTTTAATGACTTGAGTAGTTAATTGTGTTTATACTATGACTGGCATGCACCTCGAGAGAAAGCGGACTGTGCTAAACAAATATAGCCATTGATCGCCGGATATATTGTGAAGTGTGGCAATTGAGAGTCAGTCAGTTGAGGATCGAGAGTTAATTTTCCTGCACACAACTCCAACATGTTCACTATAAAATCGCAGATTTACAAAAGATAATACATAGCGCTAAGTTACATAACGATGTCTAATTTAATCCTCTTGCTCCATTTTAAAATATTAAAAATATTATTTTTCTGATAAACTGGACATGAACACCAATCACCGTTTTAGAGCTACCGCCCGTTTGTATGAAATGTTGCGTGGCGCTATTTATGGCACTGGAGTACATGGAGAAGTAAACAATGGAGGAAAATTGGCAAAAAAAATGCTATGCAATGTAGAAAAATGCAATGTAGAAGCGTTTAGAAAGGACAGAACAGAGAAAGCAATATTATAGTTATGTCAAATTTATGCCCCTGGTTATATTAAATTTTGATACTTACACCATCTTAAAGTTTTCAAAGAACATACAGTTAAAAGCTCAGGCAATGTTAAGATGTCAGTGTTCGATTGTTTGTGTGTCTGTAAACTTTTTTCCTTCAAAATACTTCTCCTTCATTAGAGTTCACCCTATTTAAATAAAACTTGTCATGCAACAGGTAATATCAATTCTGTATATTAGTTTTTGAGTAAAACATGTTGCAATGGTTAAAATATTAAAAAAAATTTAAAAATTAAAAAGTGAAATTTTTTTAAAACACCTGCATTCAATTTTGGTACATTTGGTACTTATGTAAAGTAAGATACATAATCCTTTTTTTATTTTTAATTATTTTAATTTTAAAAAAAAGTTTAGGGATTATTTCAATTTTTTGTTTTGCTGGAGTTAAGTTTTGTGAGATCAATCATTGATTAATGAAGCTTAATACAGAGTCTAACATGGGTTCGTACTTTTTTTCGCACAGCTTCCTCCATGGTTAAATTTTCAAATGTGGAGATTCCTGGTTATGATTGACATGTGATGTTTTATTTGCATTAATCAAGCATAGTAAATAACACTTAAACACAATTTCCAATGTCATAATAGCAAGAATAAAAGAAAAATAGGAGTTTCTAGTACGCAATAAAAAAAAGGAACCTTCTGATCTGATGATCAGATGGACTGATAAATAAAACTGAGACAAAAATTACTTATTAAGGACATACGCAACGTACCTTACCTACTGATAATTTTTCAAGATATTCTTAATTCAAGATTATAGTGCCATCAGATGTTCATAAACCAAAAAGCAGCTTGCATTACCAGGGGTTTTGAAAAGATATCAGCTGATGAAAATTCTTGTAAAATTCAAAGAAAAATATACAAAAATTACTATACATATATTCTAGATGTTTTGTTTATCCAAATTTGTTTTAAAAGAAGTGTACAACAGCATATATAGACATTAAAATGTAGCACACAGTTCCTTTAAGTATTGGAACTCTTCAACTCCAGGGAAAAAGACAATAAAGTTCAAACTACGTTGCGTATGTCCTTAATTGTTCTTCAAAGACCAAGAGTGGCCAATGTGAAAGGTTATGATATGGGGTTAAAAATAGTACAGAGGCAATAATAGTTTGTTAAAAGTCTGCATGGTGATAGTGATAAATTAGGGACAGAGTAGAAATTGATGAGTTACTGAATACTAGACTAATTATTTCGTTGATCCTGATCATCCTATTTCTCTTGCTTTTGGGCAATAAAGCTTCATCTATCAGTCTATTTTTAGGTCACCTGAGTCACTCAGGTGACCTATTGCTATCCGTTTTTGTCTGTCGTCGTGCGTTAACTTTTGAACATTTTCAGCTTCTTCTCTTAAACCGCTATCCGTTTTTGTCCATCGGCGGCGTGCGGCGTGCGATGTTAACATTTGAACATTTTAGCTTCTTCTCTAAAACTGCTCAACCATTTTCAACCAAATTTGGCATATAGCATCTATGGGTGAAGGGGAACAAAAATTTTGAATTTCATGGTCCCTGCCCCCCTGGGGCCTGAGGGGTGGGGCTAAAACCACCAATATTAATGCAATCTTTAAAAATCTTCTTTATTCCTAGACATCAAGCAGTCAAACTGTTGGCATCATTGTAATAAGCATTGAGCCCTCTACCAAAATTGTGAAATTTTTGGCCCCAGGGTCAGGGGTTCTGGTGCTAGGGTGGGGCTATATAGATCACATAGTGAAAGTGCATTATTTCTTTGAAAATCTTCTTCTCTGCTCCTGGGTATCAAATAAACTAACTAAGTACATGTACATAGTTATGAAGAGCAAGAATGCCTCTTCCAAAATTGTGAATTTCATGGCCCCAGGGTCAGGGGTTCTGGTGTTAGGGCAGGGCTCTATTGATTATATAGTGAAAATGCATTAATTCTTTGAAAATCTTCTTCTCTGTTCCTGGGTATTAAAAGAACAAACCAAGTAAAAAGTTATGATGAGCAAGAGTGCCTCTTCCAAAATTGTGAATTTCATGGCCCAAGGGTCAGGGGCTCTGATGTTAGGGCGGGGCTCTATTAATTATATAGTTAAAATGCATTAATTCTTTTAAAATCTTCTTCTCTGCTTCTGGGTATTAAATAAAGTAACAAAGTACATAGTTATGATGGGCTAGTACCTCTTCCAAAATTGTGAATTTCATGGCCCCAGGGTCAGGGGTTCTGGTGTTGGGGGGGGGGGGGGGCTCTATTGACTATATAGTGAAAATGCATTAATTCTTTGAAAATCTTCTTCTCTGCTTCTTGGTATTAAATAAAGTAACTAAGTACATAGTTATGATGAGCAAGGGTGCCTCTTCCGAAATTGTTATTTCATGGCCCCAGGGTCAGGGGTTCTGGTGTAAGGGGGTGGGTGGCTCTTTTGACTATATAGTGAAAATGCATTAATTCTTTGAAAATCCTCTTCTCTGCTCCTGGATATTAAATAAACTAACTAAGAACATAGATATGATGAGCATGGCTGCCTTTTCAGAAATTGTGAATTTCATGGCCCCTGGGTCAGGTGTTCAGGTGGGGGGGGGGGGGCTCTATTGATTATTTGCATTAATTCTTTGAAAATCTTCTTCTCTACTCCTGGGTATTAAATAAACTAACTTAGTGCATAGTTATGATGAGCATTGTTGCCTCTTCCAAAATTGTGAATTTCATGGCCCCTGGGTCAGGGGTTCTGGTGTCAGGGTGGGGCTCAATTGATATATATAGTGAAAATGCATTATTTCTTTGAAAATCTTCTCTCTCCTGGATATTAAATAAACTAAGTACATAGTTATGATGAGCATGGCTGCCTCCTCAGAAATTGTGAATTTTGTGGCCCCTGGATGAAGGGTTCAGGTGTTAGGTCGGGGCTCTATTGATATATTAGGAAAATACATAAATTCTTTCGAAATCATCTTCTCTGCTCCTTGGTATTGTTTAAACAAAGGAAGTGCATGGTTATGATAAGGAAGAATGCCTCTTCCAAAATTGTGCAATTCATGGCCCCTGGGTCAGGGGTTCTTCTGGGGGGGGGGGGGGGGGCTCTATTGATTTTATAGTGAAAATGCATAATTTCTTTCAAAATATTTTTTCTACTACTGGTAATAAAGCAAAGAAAGAAGTTTATAGTTATGATGAGCAAAGTCCTTCTTCCAGAATTATTAGTTCATGGCCCCTGGGTAAGATTTTCTGGTGTAAAGGGGGAGGGGGGCTTTATTTATTTAATAACATAGTGAACATGCATTTCTTTGAAAATCTTGTATTCTTCTGGACATATTCGAGGCAAACAGAGTAAAAGTTTTAATATGCAAGGGTATTTTTACCAGAATTCTGAACACCTGGATTATTTAGTCAAGTATTCTGGTCCTGGCCAGGGCTCTATGAACTTGTATTCTGCTGAGCAAAGTTATTCCCCTTTGCCATTCACCTTTGATAATTAATCACTGTAAATAATGTATTTGAAAGGTTAATAGAATAAGAGAATTATGCAAGAATATTTATTGTATAATACAAAAAGTACTTTCATAGTTTTAATGATCAGGTAGACTTGGAAATAATAGATGAATAAAAGTAAGGCAAAAATAACTTATCTTTTTTAATGTTCTTCAAAGGCCAAGAGAGACCAATGTGAGAAGTAATAATATGGGGTTAAAAATAGACATTTCGTTAATAGTCTGCATGGTAATAGTGATAAATGGGGGACAGATAGATTCTATACCAATTATTTTGTTGATGCTTATCATACTATTTTTTTTTGCTTTTGGGCAACAAAGCTTCATTTATCAGTGTATGGATCCTCTAAACAGGTGACCGTTAAGGCCCTTGGGCCTCTTGTATACTCTATGAATCCTCTAAATTGTTGTATTATACACTGGCAGATTTAGAAGTGTGTAAAAAAAAATATACATAAGATTTAATAAATCATTTTTTTTGGTGTGGTCCCTGGGTCCCCACCCGGACCCCAACTGGTTGCCCCCCCCCCCCTCCCAACCCTAACTGGTTTTCCCCTCCTTCCAGAATCCTGGATCCTTATACTCAGGTGACTGTTAAGGCCCCTGGGCCTCTAGTTTACATTTGGAATCTCTTGCTAGAATTTCTAATAAATAGTCTCAATATCAACATTCATTTAATAATTGGAATAATTGTTCTTTTTCTTTTATTTAGTTAAAACAAGTCATGATTTTGTTACATTTTTTTCACTCCCCTCAGACTTGTCCAAAATTTAAAATCACTGTTACAGTAAGACATTTGGTCTGACAAAATCAAATTTTCTGTCGGACCAGACGAAATTTTGCCAGACCAGATACATGTACCTTATGTTGATGCTGAGAAAGGAAAATAAATAACTGCAACAAAATGCCCTTTATTATTTTCAACAGCCTTCAATCTCACAAGTTTCTTTTCTTAGGATAGCGAGTCTTTAATCAGAGACATAAATGACATGTTTTATGCCTTTGCTGTAACAGGGACATATTTACAGATGTATATAGGCCCCTAACTGAAACCATAAACATATATATCGACAATCGTCACCACACAGCCATCTCAAATGTTTTTGTGGCATTCACCTGCACACCCGATCTGTATCTTTTTAAAATTTGCTTCACCCTCAATTTTTTCAATTTTTTTTATGGCCTTGCCAACAGGACTGACGGTTTTTGACAGGTCTGTCTTCTCAGTCCAATGTGGCACAAACTTTATTATAGTGTGCTGGTGTGTTAAGGGTGTGCAGCAACATTTAACTAAGTTTCTAAATTAGAGGTCATGGTCAAAGTAGATGTTTGTGAGAAATTCTTGTCTGTAGCATATTTCTCTCCTCTATGCTTCATCTGGCTCATACTTCACCCATAGAGTGCCCCTGGGTAAAGATGTAAGGCAAAGGTCAAGGTCAATGCAGGTATCTGTATAAAATATTATATTTTCTCTCCCCTTTGTCTAGTCTGATTCCAACTTCAACCAGAGTGCTTGTCAGTGAAGTGTGTACAGTGTCAGAGCAGAAATCTGTGTCAAATGGTCAACAACTTTTTATGAGTAACGAATACAGTCCTTTACAAATCCCTCTCATCTTATTGTCCTTTACTTTACTTAAAGCAGGGCTCTTTGAGATGATCACCATCTCAATGGTATCTAGTTGTATGCTATAAACAATTAGGTCCTTAAAAGTGAGACAAATGTAGCATCTTATTATCCTGTAAAGACATTTGAAATTAATATGAAAATTGAAAAATTCAGAGTATTTATCTTAATGAATTTAAATTTTATGAAGTCTTTGACCTATTAAAAGATTTGCACCTTGGCATTGGCCAATCAAAACAGAGACTTTCAAAGGATTGCATGCAAATTTAAAGCGTGTTTAGTGGAATATTAACAGATTTGTATGACACACTGACCTCAAAACAAAACCTGAACTATTTCAATTTAAAAAATAGATTTCCATAAAGAAATGTTCAAAGAAAGGTGTTCGGATATGACAATAAGTTAGTTCTTTCAAAATAAGGAGGAAAAGTTAACTTCTCAGAAAAGTGTTGGTCATGTAAATGTGCGAGCAATGTCATATAGAGTAGGTAGACTCTATGGATTGAATGATTGCTACTTGGGAAGGAATTTGCAAATGGTATCAAGGGTTTAAAAATACAGTAATAAATTCTTTTTAAAAGAGCTTGTGAAGAATTTCGAGGTTGTACACTTTGTAAAACTTTTGTAGAGCACTGTTATACTGCAAACTGTTGTTCAACGTATTCTTATCAAAATTCATGCATTCACCGATACATACAGGCGAGAGCTATTCAGTTGTGTCAGAATATCTGATCTTGATCTTTCTGTGACATTGACCTTCATTTTCAAATTTTTTTTAGAATGCATATTTTGCGGGATTATGCTATATTTTTCAAGTTATCCTAGTGAAAACCCTGTTTGTTCCATATGTTACACAAGAAATTTACGATTCCAGCAATGTGTCAAGTGCATTGTTTTCAAAATTTGACAAATTAATATGATCATGTTAAATATAGGTTATGTCTTTAAATAAAAATTTCTTGCTAAGGAACAGAAATGCAATTAAAGTCAAATTTATATACTAAGTTCTAAATGTTATTGTCTATTCAAATTTAATAAATTACTATTAGTTGCTCTATTATTGCAGTACTTGGGAGAATGATTAAATGAGTAACACCTGGTAGAAAGTTTAGTTCAGCTTATAAAAAGTTGGGATTTTGTCCACTTTGTCACAACTGTAAAAATGGTTGCCTAGCTGTACCTTTAAAGCCGGACTTGGATTTATCAAAGACATTTCCATGTATTTAATTTAGGTTATCTGACTATGGACTAGAAGAACTTCCTACTGATGTTCTTAAGCACATGAAAACCCTCAAAGTCCTTGACCTTTCATGCAACAACCTGACAACCTTTCCAGATGTGACCTTGAAGACCCTGGAGACCTTGGATATCTCAGAAAACAACATTAAGTCTGTGGACTTTGTCAGAAATCTCCCAAGTCTCAGGCATCTAATGTTGGAAGGAAACCCAAACATTCAGGTAAGACAGCCATAAACCATGTTAGAATTAAGGGCGTATGAAGTACTGGTGTGTACTCTTTTTAGCTCTACTGGTCATTATAAGCTAATGCGAGGTAAGGAGTCTGTCAACTCTCTGCTTGTCTGTAAACAGTATTTCAAAATGCTACTTCTCCTACAGCTTTGACCCAAATTCAATTAAACTTGGTACACAACTACACTTAGATACCGGTACATAATTTCTTCATTGGGTTTTGATTTTGACAATTGATGTTGCCCTGGTTACAGAAAAAAAAATGGAATTTTCTATGGCATCTTTCATAACTTTAAAAAAACACTACTACTACTACAGTTTGATATGATTGCAATCGAACTTGGTGTAAAAGTGAACTTTTCTGAGATGCATAATTCTGAAGTTCATTTTTAATTTTAAGCAGCAGTGATGCAAAGGTTACTAAACCATTCAGGTCCCCCTTTGGACTTTTGGTTTTGAATTCTTTCGGATAGCTTATTCATCATATTGACTTAAAAATATTAATTATTGTAAAAAGGTAATATCCTTTTTTGTTTTCAGTGAACTGTGTTGGCATGGTCATACAAAAATTTCAAAATACATATACTTCTCTACCTACAGTTTTCAGATTTCTATCAAACTTGGCCCACAACAAGATTCATAATTGTGTAAATTGTTTCTGATTTCTGTAAATGGTTTTGCCATGGTTCTGAAATAGGAATTTCTATGAAATTTAAAATGCTGTTCCTCATATAGATGTGCTGTGATTTAGAACTTGAAACACAGGTATAATACAGCACTGTACATATTGATATTTTGATGAAGACAGGGATTTATCAGTACCTTCTCAGGGATGGAAATTCGGGCCTATTCCCAATTGAAAATGTGTTTAGCTTTTCCCAATTTGACAGTTTTTTTCCCAGTTGGTGAACAATGCTTTTATATTTAATTATCTTGGAAAAACACAAAGTAAAATTGTCAGATTGTCTGTAATTTTCCTCTATTTGACTCATTTACCAAAGCTACGGTCATAACACATGTTTAAAACACACTGAAAACATTGCCAACTTTTAATCCAAATTTCCTCTGTTTTTTTTCTGAAAACGTGATATTTTGTAATTACATAGATTTATTGAGTTATTTCCATCTACTCAATTCATCTATGAGTGAATGGTAAGAACTGTAGGCATTATTTCAGATAGAAAAATATATTTTCAATGCATTTTTTACATATATGAAAAGGGAATTTTTGAGAAAATGTGTAGAACTAGCTTTTTGCAGGAGGTTTATAATCTCCATGCAGAAACAGATTCTAATGACCTAAATTGGAATCTCATACAAACATGTACTAACCTTAGTTGTATAAATACTTTATACTCATTGAAGTCAAATTTACTTTTATTAGTCTATTATTAGTCCCCTGCCGGTGAAACCGGAGGGGACTATAGGTTTCCTCCGAGTCTGTCCGTCTCTCTAGCTGTATGTTCGTCTGTCAGTCTGTCCCACTTGGTTTTCCGCACTTTCTTTCTAAATGCTTGCAGATATTGAGCTGATTTTTTGTATGTGAGTGTATCTTAATGAATTACAGGTCAAGTTTGCATTTCATTCCACTTCATTGATTTTTGACAGAATTTAGACCTTTTCAATTTTTCAAAGTTTTCCGCATTTTTTTTAAAACGCTTGCAGATATTGAGCTGATTTTCGGTATGTGACTTTACCTTGATGAGTTATAGATCAAGTTTGCATTTCGTTCCTCTTCATTGATTTTTGACGGAGTTATGTCATTTTTAATTTTTAATGGGAACCAGATTACATTTGCCAGTAGGGGACTAGTATTGCTAATGCAATACTCTCAGAATGCTTGTTCATAATTGATCTTGTATGATGTTGGATCATGCATATTTAATTGTCTGTTTGGTTGCCCAATTAGAGTTCATGCTAAAATGTTAAATGAATTACACCTGAATACATGATGTAAGCAACATTCCTTATTTTTCCCAATTTCATCAAATAGCTGATAATTTTTCCCAATTCCCCAAAGATGACATTTCAAAAAAAAAAATAGGTTGATAAATCCCTGGAAGAATTTTGCAATGGTTTATAAATTAAATTTTTCTCAAATTTCGACATACAGTTTTGACTAGTTTCAAAATCACATGGAAAATAAGTGTTGTAAACTATTACTTCTGTTTAAGAAATAAAGTATGCATTTTAGTACATGTTGTAGGATAACCTTTGAGGTCAAGTAACATTATTTTTGAAAAACAAAAGCAGAGGTATTACTCATGTTTTCGCAATATTTTGAAACTACATCCTACAGTTTTTAGCTCAACTGAGCTGAAAACTCAAGTGATCTTTTCTTATCACCTGTTGTCGTCTGTCTGTCCGTATGTCTGTAAACTTTTCAGAGACAAGAGTCAAGAACCACTGGGATAAATTTAACCAAATTTGATACAAAGCATCCCTGGGTAAAGGGGATTCTAAATTGTTAAAATGAAGAGCCAAGTCCCATTCCAAAGGGGGATTATAAAAAAAAAGGCAAAAAAAGGGTGTGGTCATTAAAAAAAATCTTCTTCTCAAGAACCACTGGGCCAGAAAAGCTGAAACTTAGTTGGAAGCTTCCTGAGAAAGTGTAGAACTTGTAAAAACTGAGGTGAAAGCTCAAGTGAGCTTTTCTGATCACATTTTGTCTGGCGTCTGTCTGTCTGTAAACTTTTCACATTTTCAACTTCTTCTCAAGAACTACTGGGCCAATTTTGACCAAACTTGCCACAAAGCAGCCTTGAGTGAAGGGGATTTTTAGAAGTTTGTTCAAATAAAGGACCATGCCCTCTTTCAAGGGGAGATAAGAATTAGTGAAAATTTAGTATTATCTTTCAAAAATATTATTCATAAGAACCTTTAGGCCAGAAAAGTTGAAACTTATGTGAAACCTTCATTACATAGTGTAGATTCAAGTTTGTTCAAATCATTACTCCCTAGAGGTAGGGTGGGTCCACAATAGGGGATCAAAATTTTACATAGGAATATATAGGAAATTTTTTTAAAAATCTTCAACAAAGCTGTGATCAGTCACATGGAAGTATCCTCATGGAGTGTAAATTCAAGTTTGTTAAAATCAAGACCCCTGGGGCAGGGTGGAGCCACAATGTTTTACATTGGAATATATAGGAAAAAAAATCCTTTTCTCAAGAACAACAAAGCCATTGTTAATCATTTTGATTTGGAAGCATACTCAGATAGTGTAGATTCAAAGTTCAAATGATGTGTGGGGAATAAGGTTTACATTGGATTGTATAGGAAAAAATCTTCTTCTCATTAAGGGCAAAGCCATGTTAAGTCTAACTGATATGGAAGCATCCTCAGGTAGTGTAGATTAAAGTTTGTATAAATGATGACCCCCAGGGATAGGGATGGGCCACAATGGGGGAAGAAATTTTTACAAAGGAATATAGGAAAAAATCTTCTGCTCAAGAATTGCAAAGTCATTTGTTATACTGATAAACAGAATCCTCAGGAAGTTTAAAATTCAAGTTCCCACCCCCATGTAAACTTTTCAGTACTGAACTGATTTGTGCTTCTTCCAAGCCAATGTGCTTACTGAGCATTGCTCAGGTGAGCGATGTGGCCTATGGGCCTCTTGTATTCAAATCTCGGCCCCTGTGTATAGGATGGGGCCACAGGAAACATATATTGGGGGGGGGGGATCTGTTGCAGAACATCAGGGCCTAAGTGACTCAGGTGAGCGTTGTGGCCAATGGGACTCCTGATTTTAAAATGCAACAATTTTTCCTAGTCCAGATGCTACTTTTTTCTTCTATTTAATAAGTACAACCAGTAGAGCTTTAGTCTCACTAGATACGTCTGGTTAATAATTGGGTAATTTTGGTTAATAATGAACATGATGAAGTTCACCCAGAAACATTTATCTTTCAGATCATATATGAATTTTATGAATTGCCATAATTGTGAAATAATTTCCATAGCATAGTGGAAATGCCATGGTATGAACATGAAATGTCACATGAAAAACAAGTGTTAGGAATTGTAATATTTCAAAGGTTAATATGAAGGCATATTTTAGAAATTGTTTAAAAAGCTTATCTTTGATTTAAGGACAACCACATGATTGAAGCAGTCCTTAAATGCCCCAGCCTAATGAAGATTGATAAACACAATGTCGACTACATTCACAGACAGATCCAAAACTTCAGGGAGAAATGGCTGCCTCAGGTACCATCAAGTGTCTTAAACATTAACATGATTGTAATATTTTGAAAGAATTTATGTGATCAACATTTTGTCGAAACATGTATATTTAAGGAATAACTGTCTTATTTTTTGGATTCATGACGATGATCAATCGAGTGGCTTGCGTGATAATTTGCATAAACGCCGAAGGCGTTTATGCATAAAATTATCACGCAAGCCAATCGATTGATCATCGTCATGAATCCAAAAAATCTGACAGTTATTCCTTATATTTACATGCTCCTGATTCTGCAAATTCCCATGCTAACAGCCCCGCTTCTGTCTCTATTTGTCCCGCCCCGCACGTGATTTTTTTTTAACCGCGCCTATCGATGAACCAGTAGATTTATGTAGAAATAAAGTATTTTTACAATTTGTAATTTTATCTCGGACAAAGACATTGGAAATGTAAATATTTGTGTTTAAAAGAGAGTTTCTTGTATCCTTTTAAAATTCAAATGAAATCTCTTAAATATATGGGGAAAAGATTTATTTTGTAACCATTTCTGATAACATAAGCTATAAATGGTCCAAAAAAAAACAAGAATTAACAAGTAGGTATACATATGTTAAGATAATCATTTCTCAGGTTTTAGAATATTCATATATTAAATTTTCATTGAATTATCTTGGGTTTTGTTTTTATAAAAGAAAAATTTCTTACACTGTTTATGCCTTTTAAAAATCTACCTCTTTTTACTCAGGTGCAAGCGAAGTTTGAGGTGCTTTTTGAGGACAGATTTACTGAGGAGATGTCTGAGGACCAGTTTCTGCAGGCAGTGACGGAATTCCAGGATGTCATCCGAGCAGACTCACTGTTCTCAAGTGCCAACTCAGAGGCTGAGAAAATTGTTGTAAGAAACTCGAACTGTGTTTTAATTTTATTTCAATTCATAATGCATCTTTTTTCCAGCCATATTCTCACAGTTTGATTTCCCAGAGTTTAATGGGGTAAACCTGTATAGTTAGGCCTGAAAAATATTTTTGACTTATAAATATGTCTTTGAAAATAAAAAAAAAAAATTGCTGTAGGAAATGAAAAAAGTATAGTTAGGCCTTAAAAATATTTTTGACTTATAAATCTTTCTTTGAAATTTAAAAAAAATTGCTGTAGGAAATGAAAAAAAAAAAAGCATCATATTTTTACCCATTGTTTATAAAAAATATTCCAGATTTTGAGAGGATATTTTGAAATGATTGTTGGATTCTGGGTATCATATTTAAGTTTTTTTTCCCTTTCATCCAGATTGATAAGCTTGCTAAGGAGATAGCTGAAGATGCTAGATCAGGAGAACTCTTCTCCACCCATCAACAGGCTCCAGGAACACCAAGAAGTGCCCGATTATCCCGAAAACTCAGCTGCAACACACCCAAAACTCCAAGTAGGAATTTTGTTTATCTTAACATCTACATGTAGAGTATAAAATAGTTTTCATTTACTACGAAAGAAATTAATTAATATATTTCCTAATTCTTTCAGACTGAGTGTTGATGTTTTTATTTTTAGAAATACAAACTTTTAAGCATCTTGTAGTTTTGAACTTTACGTGTCAGAGACCAGCTTATGTAATTGTTAGGAGACTGTCATCTGTCCATCACCATCTATTTAACTGTAATTTATTTTATTTTTTTTAAATGTTACTCCTCCAACAGTTTTGGTCCCATTTCAGTATTACTTGGTGTACAGGTAGACTATGCTAAATTAAATAAATCTATATTTTCCTTTTCCATTTAGATGGACAGTGTTGCCAGGGTTTTTAAAAATATAAATGTCTGTAAAATTCTTTCAAAACGCTACAGCTCATAAAGTACAGTTGGTGTAATTTCAAAAAAACTTTCTACACAAGTAGGCTGCACAAATATACATAATTTTGTTTATTAGTTTTTGATTTTGATGAATAGTGTGGCTATGATTACTGAAAAATAGAAACTACATTAAGTTACATAATTATATATGTCTGTCTTTAATTCTGATAAAAGACATTATCATGGTTACTAAAGTAGAATTTCTTTCAAATTGCTACTCATACAGTTTGTTCTGATTTCAATAAAACTTTCTTCACAAAAGACCACACTAAGGTATATAATTCCTTTTATCATTTTTTAATTTTGACAAACAAAATTGCCTTGGTTACTTAAAATAGAAATTTCTGTGAAATTCTTTCAAAAGACTACTCCTCCTTGAGTTTTAGTTCATTTGCAGTTAAACTTGCCACAAACCAAGGATCATTATTCTATTTATTACTGTTGCCATACTTTTAAGTCCAAGTGCTACTTTTCTCTTCCTTCATTATAAGTACAAATCAGTAGAGCTACACTCTCATTAGAAACTTCTGGTTAAATCTCAGTGTAAAAAAAAAATAATTTATATAACTATAGGTTCAACATCTACCACACCAAAAAGGAACAGAAGGAGTGTGACCTCTGTACTGGACTCCCCCACCCTGAAGATGCCTGAATCTCCGATATCCCCCATCAGTACCCCAAACAAACGGAAGAGGCGACGAGACAGTGATGAGGAATCTGGAGTACAGAAATCAAAACGAGACAGGAAGTACTCCCCACTGACATGGATGATTAGGAAGAACCCAGTTGTTGAGCACAACATGATGTCTTTGGTAAATTTTTCTTCGCCATAATGATACACAATAATTATTATTTCACAAGTCTAATTTTTAAAAGAAGTTTATCTGACTTAAGTTCTGTTCTTGGCATTTTTAAATTAGATTACAATCTTTCATTATATTAATTTAAGGTATGATTTATGTTGCTTAATAGAAGCTGACAAGAGTGACAGTTGTATTTTTCCCCTGTGTTTGATAAAAGAGGGGGATGTTAATTTGGATCTGTCCATTCGTCATTCTATTAATTCCTGTATGATATCTCCAAAAGTCCTTTAGGCTTTGTAGTGGAATTTAGACATAAATTCTTTTGACATAAAGAGACCCCTAGTGAATTTAAGGTCAAAGGTCAAGGTCAGAAAGTGTTTTTGCATTGAAACCTGAGGTGATGACTCTCAATGATTTTAAGGCTAAAAGATGAAAGGTCAAGGTCACAAGTTCATATATATGGTATGAAATGGTTTCTGATTAACAATGCAAAAACTAAAATACAACCCCTGTTGATTTGGAGGTGAAGGGGTTAAAGGTCTGTTACAAACTGGTTTAGATCATTCCAAGTTTTTTCTCTGTTTAGCGTCCACCCATATTTCAAAAACCTACCTACCTATTTGCAAAAAACAAACAAGTCCAAAAAATGAAACACAAATTTTATAGTCCTAAAAATGACGCCATTTGTTAAACGATTTGATTCATAAACCTATTTTTCTCATAAAAAGTTCAATTCCTTAGTAAAATGAAAGTATCTAATAGTTATAAGATACCTCACACTACATTTTCTAAACATATATAGAGTAAAATTGACAGAATTCAAAGATTTTGACCAGAATAATCAATTTCACGACTCCAATTCTTATTTGTTTTTTCTGACATGGGGTGTCAAAAACCAAGGCGCACACGGACGCTAAACATAGAAAAAATTTGGAATGGCCTTAGGTCTTCCACCCCATTATTCTATGCTTAAGTGAAGGACATAAATACCCTGAGTTAATTTGTGATGTATTTGTATTGAACATACTTTAGAGACTGGTTTCATTGTTGATGCACAAACTAACTGAGCTAAATATTTTTGGGGGATCTTGATTTGTCTTTATATCTTTAATTTTCTCAAATTTTGTGATGTATGGTATACAAAATTCATTTGAATTTCATTTTTTTTTTCCTCCATCTGATAGTAAATTGTCATAACAAAAATTTTTTTTTAGAATTTTTAGTAAACGGAGGGTTCTCCCCTTAGTTGACCCAAGCTACACTATCTTTTGTTTAATATCTTAAGAAGTACAAATAAGTAAGTAGCAAATAGAAAATGTATGTTAAAAGTGGCTTTGAAATGATCTATTTGATTTCAGCCTGCTTTACCTGACTATGACCCTGTTCACTTCCTGCGATGTCACTCCGAGGGAAATGACCCGTCTGATGAGGTGACAAAAGTCTGGAAGTGTGCTTTTGAACCCAGCATTGAAGATCCTGGTAAGTGTTTGAAATAAAATGGATCCGTAAAAGTATCTGCTTAATTAGCAATTCATGATCTTAGTACACATTCATATTAGTTCAATTACACAATTAGTATACACTTTTTGTTATGTTTGAAAAATATTGTGATATATTGTGAAGAGTTCTTTATTTCTCCAGTTAAAATGATAATTTATGACAAGAAAACTGCAAAATAAATTATTGAAATATGTTTAAAGAGTAAATACATTTTATCGTTGAAGAATAGTGATGCTAAAAATAAATTTTGTACATATTCAGGAACTGGATGCTTGCAGGAATTGACCCCCTGTACATTATGTGGTTAATTTGATAATTTGCTTAGCTTCCTCATATTTTAGGTTTCTATATTTTCATAAACTTTATATATGTAATTTATGAGTTAGGTCTTAAAGATTTTGTATTTGTACAAATGTTCATTTAGAGTATGAAAAGAGATTATTAAAAAGCCTTAATGAAAATTGTATATTTTTGACAGAGAAGACAACCAACCTGTTGGCCAGTTGTGGGGGACAGACCGTGTGTCTGACGGACTGTAACACAGGAAAGGTGATGAAACGCTATAAAGATGACAACAAACACGAGGTAAGATTTAATAAAATTGAAAACCAAACCATGTTTGCAAAATATTCATATTAAAATTTATTCAAAACATCAGAATATCTGACCCTCAAAGCATTTAAGTGCTGATCTGAATACAAGATTAGATTTTTTCAAGAATACATTATGTAGGTGTACAAACTGTAACCACCATATGCTGAGTGTTGACAACTCACATTTTCTTTCCCACAGTGCTTCTACACTTTGGCATGGACCACAGTTCATCTTGAGAACAATAAACAAGAGAAGACTAATCTACTAGCAGTAGCAGGTACAGCACTGAGAAATCAATTCTTGTGCTTCTAGATTTTAAAATTGAATTGAATTGAATTTTATTGTTTGTGTGCCCCCTGTTTTAAATAGGGGAATAGATTATCAATAACCCTTTATAAATTATCTGTTAACCCCCATTTTTGTTCAAAAAATATAATGATAAAACAATTAGGATGTCCATATTTGCATCTTGATTTGCACTATATTTGTTTTATGATTATGAGGTGAAAGGACACAATTTTTTTACTGAAAGAAAGAATTTTGGTTTCTATTAAAAAAAATATTTTAAACATTCAAATCTCACTGTAATCTCTGAATGTAAAAAGAGAAAAAGAGATTTTGGATATAATTTGAGCATTCACATCATTTGGACACATCTGGGTTTTAACTGTATAGTTTATCAATGAGCTTAAAAGTCCATACTGAAATGTTGATGTTTCTGATTTTAAGTTATGATGCTGGCCCATTGTATGACAGTGTCAAAAATGTTTTGAAATAACAATGTATTACACTCATTGATATTTCTTCCTGTTTGTCAGGTCAGAGTGCAGACATCAAGTTGATCCACCCCTCCCAGTTTATGATGTATGCCACACTTGAAGGTCACAGAAAATATATAAGCTGTTTAACCTTTCACCCCAAACAGCCAACAATTCTTTTCAGTAAGTGTTACTTCCACAAATGTGCTTAAAGTTTAGTGAACTACAAATTTTCTAGTATTCTAACTTGAATTTTGACAGTTTTTATGGCCATTTTTCTTTGAAGGTTTAAGTAAATAAATTCACACTTAAATTAAAATTTCTTTAATTCAGAATTTGTTTTTGTTTGTTTTTTTTATCTAGGTGGAAGTAATGATAGGAAGATCATTGTGTGGGACATAGGAATTCCTGATATGAGGGACTACACAGTGCTGTTCAAGTATGTAATTAGAAATTAAAATAAAACTCAGAAATATTGAATTCTGAAATTTGTCAGTAAAATTCATTCAATTTTCTTGAATAAATTAACATTGGACATAAACATCAAAAATTTATGAGTATGTTCATGAAAGTGCATAAATTGTGCATTCTCAATTCATCAATTACCCATTCTCACAGAATCTTGTTTGTTACATCAGAGGATAACAATATATCCAAAATCTTTTACAGGAAATTACATGTACTCCAGGCCCCAGACACTGACGCTCTGAACCTGGTACTGAGCATGCCCAGTCAGACCCTGCTAGCAGGATGTGAAGACTCCTGTTTTGGATGGAAGGCAGACAATGTGGACAAATTATCTAGGTATTAGTCTAAAATGTTGAAAATAAGAGTAGCAATTTTGGTTTATCTAAATTACATTGTTAAAATACATTGTAGCTACAGTGCTTTCAGAATTGGAAGCATGTAATAAAAATTGGGTAGAATCCATGGATGTTAATGAATCTTCATCTACTGCTATGTGATAGTGAAGAATTAGTTACTGTAGATTTCTAAATATACGCGAGGAATTAATTATCGCGTAATTACGCGAGAAGCACTACTCGCGAAATAAAATTTTTCCCTTTTATTTTTATAGTGTTGAAATCAATGTAAAATCCCTTGATCAACCGCCCACTCGCAAATTATTGTTCTCGCGATTTGAAGTGAAAGAGCCATTTCGTGATAATAAGTAATCATGAAAAATAAGGAATCTACAGTACCAGTCGACTATATTGATCTGTCAAAGAAAATTAAATCAGTTATTTCAATATTATTAATTCACATCTCTGGTTATTAAGAATCAAAGCTAAATTTGCAGCACAATTTTTTTTCAGGACCCCTGATTACCAGTTTTACCTCCCTACAGTGTCCAGTGATACTGAGAGTAACGTCAGTACACAGAGAGAGACAGTGGATGGACTTGCAGCTCTACAGAATGGATATGTTGGTATGTGGCTTATGAAAAGAATGTTAAATTTTACTGACTTTTCACTGTCAAGCATGTGTTTTACTACTTCAGAAAAATGCAGAAGTACTCTTAAAAATCAATTATTTTGAATTATTTATTTTGGAATGATGTCAAAGTTAAACAGGATATGCTTCCCAAAATATGATAATGTTTTGAATTAAAACTTGGAAAAATATTGCTTTTGAAATTAAAAATTTAAAAAAGTATATGGGATTGAACAGTTGGCATGACCTATTTAAGCTTTCTCCCAATTGTATGGCTTTATAAATATATTTATAAATTAAATGTCCAAAATACATCTCTTACGTGTAAGTTATTTCAGTTAAAATCAGATTGTTTTGATTTTGTTTGCAGTGACAAAATGTGTGGGAGATGACATCATCAGTGTATGGAATGTCAAAGATCAACTCCCCTCCAAGGTCAAGTCTAGCTCAGACAAAGGCAAGGTCAAGGCCAGCACAAAATCCATAGGGGTCAAACCAACCGCTCTACTCCACTATACAAGACAGACTGTTGACTACATCAACATCGGGGCAACCAAAGGTAGGAACATGTATTTACATGGTGAACATGTCATACATGGTGAACATATGTCATATGGTCAAGTTGGATATATTTCAGTCAGTTTTAAAAATGTATGAAATAACAAAGAGAAAAGCAAGATTTTGGTAGGAATTTTATTCACCTTCATCAATAGTACAATAGCATGTTTAGGAAAAACTTTTCATATTGGGCGAGTTTAACGCAAGTGGATTTAAAAGATATTTCCAGTATTTCATCCAGATACAGTCAAACATATCACATTTATCTTAAACTCAGTAGAATACACAAAATCCAAGGAATAGATCCAATTTCAGTTGAAAAGCTTGGGCATAGTCAAATTACTGGGGCTTGAAGGACACAGCACCAAGTGTCATTTTGTCATGTGATAATATAATGGGTTTTTTTTCTTCAGAAATGATGGTGGTAGGAGATGATGATGGTAAACTGAGACTGTACAATGTGGGAAAGGTGACCAGCAGGAAGTCAAAGCCATGTGATGACATCCTGCAGCCCTCAAGGGTATGTCTCAAGAACTGAAAGTTTCTAATAAATCTTAAACAACATGCATCGAATATTTTCAAGTTTTGATACGTTACTCTAATTTAACATAAGATAAAATTATCTCAGTTGATATTGATCAGAAGTCTCAAGGAAATATCTTTACTGGTTCAAAACTCAAAATGGCGCCTATATGAAATGTATCAGTTTTCTCATGGTAAATTAACAATATCAGTTACATGTACATGTTATCTCAACTTAACCATATTATGCAGTCCTTTTTTTGTTTGTTTGTTTGTTTTTTTTTTTGTTTTTTTTGTTTTTTTTTTGTAGACTTTATAGGTTGATTTTATGAGATAACTCAAACTTATTCTTTGAGATAGCTGTCTTTTACTACCTTATCTATTTTCTAGCTTTGTGCTTTCTTTTATGTCAAATAATAAAGGTTTTTTTTTTGTTGCAGGTTTTAGAGTGGCCTGAGATTTCTGATGGACCTATGAAGCCATTCTGTCAGAAAGAGGTACATTTGATTTATAAATCTAGTATTAACTTTTAATATTACTGTACATCATTTTTAAGCCAGTGGTGGCCAATTTTTGTGAACTGTTCAATATTTAAGGGTGTGTTGGAAAATAATTTCATGGGTATGTCATATTATGAAAGTGACATCCTATACATCAGTTGAAATGATATCATTGAAATGGTAAATCCTATAAAATGAGATTGATGACAAACAGTGCTATGAAGCTGTAAAGTTTATTGTGATGGATGTTCATTGTCATGCCCTTTCAGTTCTTTGTGGTACCTTCATTCAAAAACATATACATGTACATGTAGTAAAATTGCATATAAACTATAGTTTGTACCCTTTAAGAGTACAGATGTATTTTTATTTTGGGACTTTTACATCTTGTTAGTAGGTTAAAACCGTTTTGATTTAATTGGCAGCAGGACATTTTTATGTTGTTAAGGAAGTAACCAATCAAGATTAACAATTATATGCTCAATGTGCTCAACTTTTTGAGTTCATGTACAAAGAGAACTCTTGAAAAATAATTATTAGCTTCCTTTATGCATGTACAGTTGTCTATATTTTTGTTTTCTCTGTTTCAGACTGTTGTTGTGAACAGTGCCTGTGCCAGCTATGATAAGGAGTATATTGCATGTGGGACAGACAACAATCTGGTGTGTGTTTGGAGGAGACAGAGGGGGAGCTGTGGGGAGGAGGACATGAACTGTGATTGAAGGAGGGGACAAATAGCTACAGCTGAAGGGGGTACACAGAATGGGAGAGGACATGAACTGTGATTAAAGGGGAGCAAACAGCTTCAGCTACTGGAACATAAAGACAGAATGGGGAGTAGTGATGTGTTGAGTTACTGTTAGGTGTATTCATCTACTTGGTAGAACATGAATTCCTTCACTTTGGGACTGAGATTTCAGGAGTTCGATATAATATGATTGAGGTCTTTGACTTTACTAATGGAAACATGCATTTATAAAATTTGGCTTGGAGTCATTTTTTGATAGACTGTGACATACATGTGGTTTTTTTTTTATCATGTATCATGAAGGATAAAATCTTTTGATAAAGGGATATATCTTTGTACAGTTATGAATGATACTTAAATTCTTCAAACAGTTATATGAATTATGCAGGACATTTGTCATTCTTGTGATTTATCATGATATTGGAGTGTTTTGAATTATGAATATAGAATGTTTCATAAGGGCTATTCCAGGAAAAAATGTATGGGAGGGTTGGACGGCACTTCATATATTTTTGTATGGGTAGTGGGTCTGGAGCAATTAAATTTGTAAGGGTGGTTGTCCTCACTCGATATATTTTTAGATGGGTGGTTGTATTTACCCTCACAAATAATCAAGTGCAAAGTACTTCTTTCCTCTCATTTTGTATAAATCAGTGAATACTGATATTTTCGTCCTAAACAGTTGTTAAGTGTGTTTACATTGAAAGTGAAAGTAGAATCGAACAAAACGGAAACAAGGGCAGATAACTATAAAAGCATGTGCAACTGTGACTGCAATGACAGTGGGGGGTTGGAAAACGGATTAGTTGTGCTTTGGACTCACTGGTCCAGTTTCTTTTCGCCAGTTTAATTAAACATGATTACATTGGTAAATTAAATGATATTAGAAACAATCAGAAAGATCGTTTTATTTTAAACCGAAAGTAGAAAAAAACGTATCTGATAATGAACGTTTTAGAGCATGACTACGGAGTTTGCAAGTCAAATATTTTACTTTATACCACATACAGAGTAAAAGGAAGATGAGATATGAGTTTGAAAACAATATGAAATATATTATGTCAAAAACATGCCAGTCCTTAACCTGTTAAGTGTTAACTTGTCGAACTTGAATGTACCAATGGTCTAAGTTGTTAAATGGGATTTAGAATTCTTTAAATATATTTTTTTTAATCAAAGTTTTCACTTCACAGACACTGCCTACAGAAGTTTAGTCCCCCCCCCCCCCCCAAAAAAAAAAAAAAACAGGAATCATTTTGTTATGAACAAGGTGAACAACAATTGTTAAGGATAGCTAGGCTATAATTTACAATATTTAATTAATTGTAGGAATGTCATTTCTACTAGTACATGTGTATACATACTTGTAAAAGCTTTACCTAAGCTTTACAGACTACAAAGTCATGTATCAGAACAGATATACAAATCACTATAATAAAGGCTTTCAGTGGTGTGTATCATAGGCCTAAAGGAACATATCTTTTTAAGCTGTAGCAGGAACACGGGGAACTGTTTTACAAAAAAACTTATTACTAAGACTAAAAAATTTAGTTGTTCATAAAATCTTACAAAACTTATGTTTTTGTTAAAAATTGTTGGCATAAAACTATCTTATTTTTTTTTTCAAAAAGATTTAAAACATTTTTAAAGTAATGCAAAAAAGAAATTTATTTGCATAATAACATTTGGATCTTAGTCATAAGTTCTTTTGTAAAATGGGCCCTGGTTGGATAGATGTCAAATCCCAACACTCATTCGAAGTCAGATAAATTACAATACCTGAAAAAAGTACATAAAATTTTATTGCATATATATGTGTGACACAATTTTTTTTTTTAAATTTAAATGGGTGGTTGTATCAAAAGCAATTTTAAATTGATGGGGGGTGGGGTAGAAGGTAATTAAAAATGTATGGGTGGTGGGGTAAAAATAAAAGTGCCTTCCAACCCCCCAACCCCCCCATACAATTTTTCCTGGAATAGCCCTAAATAATTGTCTTAGATAATATTTTGTGTTACTAGTCATTAGTCAAATGAATGTATTTTAACATTAATTATGAATTTGCTGAAACACAAGACTGCAAAAAAAAAATCCATTGTGTAGTGCTATTGACTAACTGTATATAGCTAAAAACTCAGTATTACATTGTATTGTATGCAGGTGAGAAATTGTTAACAATATGGTAAATATTGAGAATATGTGTTTAAAAATATAAAGGTTTATATTTTGTTTGCCATGTTGTTATGTCTGGGTTGTAGTTTTTAGCTCACCTGAGCTGAAAGCTCAAGTGAGCTTTTCTGATCACCCGTTGTCCGTCGTCCGTCCGTCCGTCTGTCCGTCTGTCCGTCTGTCCGTCCGTCCGTCTGTAAACTTTTCACATTTTCAACTTCTTCTCAAGAACCACTGGGCCAATTTTAACCAAACTTGGTACAAAGTATCCTTGGGGGAAGGGGAGTTTAAATTGTTAAAATAAAGGGCCAAGTCCCCTTACAAGGGGAGATAATCAAGAAAAGACAAAAATGAGGTGGGGTCATTAAAAAATCTTCTTCTCAAGAACCACTGGGCCAGAAAAGCTGAAACTTATGTGGAAGCATCCTGGGATAGTGTAGATTCTAAATTGTTCAAATCATGACCCCCAGGGGTTGGGCGGGGCCACAATAGGGAATCCAAGTTTTACATTGAAATATATAGGAAAAATCTTTAAAAATCTTCTTCTCAAGAACCACTGAGCCAGAAAAGCTGAAACTTATGTGGAAGCATCCTGGGGTAGTGTAGATTCTAGATTGTTCAAATCATGACCCCCGGGGGTAGGGCGGGGCCACAATAGGGAATCCAAGTTTTACATTGAAATATATAGGAAAAATCTTTAAAAATCTTCTTCTCAAGAACCACTGAGGCAGAAAAGCTGAAACTTATGTGGAAGCATCCTGGGGTAGTGTAGATTCTAAATTGTTCAAATCATGACCCCCGGGGGTAGGGCGGGGCCACAATAGGGAATCCAAGTTTTACATTGAAATATATAGGAAAAATCTTTAAAAATCTTCTTCTCAAGAACCACTGAGCCAGAAAAGCTGAAACTTATGTGGAAGCATCCTGGGGTAGTGTAGATTCTAGATTGTTCAAATCATGACCCCCGGGGGTAGGGCGGGGCCACAATAGGGAATCCAAGTTTTACATTGAAATATATAGGAAAAATCTTTAAAAATCTTCTTCTCAAGAACCACTGAGGCAGAAAAGCTGAAACTTATGTGGAAGCATCCTGGGGTAGTGTAGATTCTAAATTGTTCAAATCATGACCCCCGGGGGTAGGGCGGGGCCACAATAGGGAATCCAAGTTTTACATTGAAATATAAATAGGAAAAATCTTTAAAAATCTTCTTCTCAAGAACCACTGAGGCAGAAAAGCTGAAACTTATGTGAAAGCATCCTGGGGTAGTGTAGATTTTAAATTGTTCAAATCATGACCCCCGGGGGTAGGGCGGGGCCACAATAGGAAATACAAGTTTTACATTGAAATATATAGGAAAAATCTTTAAAAATCTTCTTCTCAAGAACCACTGAGGCAGAAAAGCTGAAACTTATGTGGAAGCATCCTGGGGTAGTGTAGATTCTAAATTGTTCAAATCATGACCCCCGGGGGTAGGGCGGGGCCACAATAGGGAATCCAAGTTTTACATTGAAATATATATAGGAAAAATCTTTAAAAATCTTTTTCTCAAGAACCACTGAGCCAGAAAAGCTGAAATTTATGTGGAAGCATCCTCAAGTAGTGTACACTCTAAATTGTTCAAATCATGACCCAGGGGATAGGGCGGGGCCACAATAGGGGGAATCCCAAGTTTTACATTGAAATATATAGGAAAAATCTTTAAAAATCTTCTCAAGAACCACTGGACCAGAAAAACTTAAACTTATGTGGAAGCATCCTGGGGTAGTGTAGATTCTAAATTGTTCAAATCATGGCCCCTGGGGGGAGGGTGGGGCCACAATAGGTATTACAAGGGGGAAGTCTGGTAATGAACAGCATGGCCAAAGTTACTCAGGTGAGCGATGTGGCCCATGGGCCTCTTGTTAGTAACTGTTTTGGTTTGGTTTTCTTACTTATTATTTCAAAAGGGATTTTAAAAATTAGTTTTAAATATGTTTTTAAGAGTTTATTTTCAAAAAATTGTTCTAAAATTAGATTTCTTTTAAACGGTAGATATTTTGTATTCATTCTAAAGATATTTTTACTGGTAGTATTATTATAATCATTTTTAGCTCACCTGAGCTGAAAGCTCAAGTGAGCTTTTCTGATCACCCGTTGTCCGTCGTCCGTCCGTCCGTCTGTCCGTCTGTCCGTCTGTCCGTCCGTCCGTCTGTAAACTTTTCACATTTTCAACTTCTTCTCAAGAACCACTGGGCCAATTTTAACCAAACTTGGTACAAAGTATCCTTGGGGGAAGGGGAGTTTAAATTGTTAAAATAAAGGGCCAAGTCCCCTTACAAGGGGAGATAATCAAGAAAAGACAAAAATTGGGTGGGGTCATTAAAAAATCTTCTTCTCAAGAACCACTGGGCCAGAAAAGCTGAAACTTATGTGGAAGCATCCTGGGATAGTGTAGATTCTAAATTGTAAAAATCATGACCCCCGGGGGTAGGGCGGGGCCACAATAGGGAATCCAAGTTTTACATTGAAATATATAGGAAAAATCTTTAAAAATCTTCTTCTCAAGAACCACTGAGCCAGAAAGGCTGAAACTTATGTGGAAGCATCCTGGGGTAGTGTAGATTCTAAATTGTAAAAATCATGACCCCCGGGGGTAGGGCGGGGCCACAAAAGGGAATCCAAGTTTTACATTGAAATATATAGGAAAAATCTTTAAAAATCTTCTTCTCAAGAACCACTGAGCCAGAAAAGCTGAAACTTATGTGGAAGCATCCTGGGGTAGTGTAGATTCTAAATTGTAAAAATCATGACCCCCGGGGGTAGGGCGGGGCCACAATAGGGAATTCAAGTTTTACATTGAAATATATAGGAAAAATCTTTAAAAATCTTCTTCTCAAGAACCACTGAGCCAAAAAACCTGAAACTTATGTGGAAGCATCCTGGGGTAGTGTAGATTCTAAATTGTTCAAATCATGACCCCCGGGGGTAGGGCGGGGCCACAATAGGAAATACAAGTTT